AAGGTAATCAAAGAAGCTAATGAAATGTTGGCCTTTATCTCAAGGGGGTTGGAATACAAAAGCGAGGAAGTAATGCTTCAGTTGTACAGACAATTTAGATATAAATGTACTCCATTTAGAATTAGAATACTGTGTTCAGTTTTGGGCACAGAACCTCAAGAACGATTACATGGACTTTAGAGAGGGTACAACAGAGAGTGACCAGAATGAACCAGGGATGAAAAGGTTAAACTGTGAGACTAGGTTACATAAACTTTGTTTGTATTCCTCAGAATTTAGAAGGTTGAGGGCGATCTAATCGAGGTGTTTAAAATGATAAAAGACCTCGACAGGGTAGATACAAATAAATTATTTCCTCTGGTGAGGTTATCCAGAACAACAACAACAACAACAACAAGATTCCATTTATAGAGCGCCTTTCACGTCAGGAGGACGTCCCAAGGCGCTGCACAGTTGGGTCATGACCCGAGCAGGGGGGAAATGGTCAGGGTGAGGGGAGGGAAGGGAGGGAGAGAGGAGGGGGGAAATGGTCAGGGTGAGGGGAGGGAAGGGAGGGAGCGAGGAGGGGGAAGAGAGTCGAGAGGGGAGCTGAAGGCACGGTCAAAGAGAAAGGTTTTGAGACCGGCCTTGAAGGAGGAAAGGGAGGAAGCAAGGCGAAGGCACTGGGGGATGGAGTTCCAGAGCCTGGGGGCTGAGAGGCTGAAGGCCCGACCACCGATAGTAGGGCGGTTGGGGCATACTCTTAAAATGGGAGGGATGCTGGATCAATTTGAATTTTCAAGACATACCAAAAGAGATACTTGTAAGATGGTATAAAGGGATGTGGAGGAAAGGCAGGTAAAGGGGGTTAGGGTACAGATCGGCCATGATCTAATAGAATGGTGAAACAGGCTTATGGGGCTGAATGGCCCACTCTTGTTCCTATGTTCCTCACCCAGTGTCCTTACACACAAACCATCCAGCAGGGAGACTATCAATGGGCAATGATCAGAAACAGGAACCATGGCTTCTTTTCACCCCTCTCTTGCCCAGGGCAGCTCAGTCCAGTCAGAGGGATCAATATCAGGGAGTGTCAGTGCAGAGCAGCTAACAGTTATTATTGAGTACAGAAATAACAATAATAATCCTTGTATTTGATATAGCAAATTTGACGTAGCACCTTATCATGGCATCAAAACATTTCAAAGCGCTTCACATGACTTACTGTAAAGTGACTGTGTAATTGTAGACAAACATAGCAGCTGATTTGTGCATTGCAATGACCCACAATTTTATCTGGGTGATTCTGGGCCTGACAGGGCAGGAAGGTTCAGTGAAGAAAATGTTACATGTTTTTGCTTCCAATGGACCCACTGAGTGTCCTGTTTATTTTTCAATTATTGTATCTATCAGACACAGAAAGCACTGGAGGATGTGCTGTAATTAGCAAAGGGGGGGTATCAGTGGTTTGGTCTAGCAGTGCTTAGAGACATACTGCTCGTGCTAGCATCCTCCGCTCCTGACTGGCTGCGTTAATAATAGAGCCAGTTTGTTTGCTCACAATCTCCTCAGCCGCACTGCCGCGGGGCTGCAGTACTTACATCGGACTGGTAGCTCGCCGGCTGATTAGTACGCAGGAGAGAGACAAGTTCCTTTGTAGCCTTTAGCATATAAATTAAAATTAAACCAGTACGAGGCAGGCACGTTCAGCAGTTAGCAATAAATCACTTGGGGCTGAGCAACGTCCCAACATTGACATCTCAACCTAGAAGTGGGTCACTTGGACCTCAGGAACTCCGCTCCAAGTAGATGAGGAGTAGATTGTGTCAGAGTTTGGAGTCACAAAACCTCAGTCTTTACCCATCCTCTGGGTTCCATGTTCCAACTTGGACCTATAACATTGAAATACAGAATGTCAAGGTGCTTCACAAGGAATTGCTGTCATTTGTAGTAAGTGTGCATTTGTAGGAAAACACAGCAGCCAACTTAGGCACAGTAAGGTCCCACAAAAAGATATAATAATAATCCTAGCATTTGATATAATGCCTTATCGCATCTTCGAGATATCTCAGAGTGCTTCACAGAATATGCTGTAAAGTGAATTGACTGTATATTTTTGGGCAAAACGCAGGAGCCAATTGCACGTAGTGGTGTCCCACAAACAGCCCTGAATTGAAGTGACTGTTTTTTTTTATGAAGGAATCAAACATGAGTTGCACGCTCAATTATTCACGCATATTGCTGGCCAGGATATGAGGAGAAACACTTTCACTGTGACCTCAAGTCCCAATATGGGGTTTGAAACCACAAATTCTGCAACAGAGACAAGAGTGCTCCCAACTGAGCTGTGATGTCTCAAAGTGACTCTATGTAATTAATAGACATGGATTGAATTAATTCTCTCATTGTGATTTATAATAATTTTGCAAAATATATTGCATTTAACCAAATATTCATGTGAGGTTAATAAATCTTTTTTTTAGTGACGGTTGCAATGCCAACACTTGGGCCAAACTGTGGACCCGAAGAGAATGTTCCTGATTGTGAACACTATTACGGGTTCTGAGATGGATAAATGGACATCAGTGTGGCAGAATTAAGCAAAAGAGGTTGAGCGTGAAATACAAATGCATCAATAAACGGGAGAAGTCATAAGAACAGAAGGAATCTGTATGGTTGGGGACTAAGTCAACTAGAATTGGTGATTTTAATGGGGCCACTGCCTGCAATAAATCTTTAGAAACAGCTTGTTTATTGCAGATTAAACCGATTGCAATTGTCCTTGCCTGTTGGGCTTGCTCCAATCAAACATTAAAAATAAATTGTTTTACAATAAAACATAATTCATTCCTGTTTTATAATAGTGTCTATTTATTATTAATCTTAGGACAGTAATACTGAAAAGAATGGTGCTCTTCTCTTATAGTGTTACACAATCTTTAACAATCACCTGAACTTGTACCTGTAAACATCAAAATATCTCAAAGTGCTTCACAGGGAATTGCTGCAGTGTAGTCATTTTGCAGTGATGAACACCTGATCTCACTAAACCTATTAATTGATACCTGATCTCAATGAACCTAACACCATCCTTCAGATGAGATGTTAAATCAAGATCCTGTTTGTCTGTTTCAGTAGAAGTTAAAGGTCCCATGATAATATTAGTCTCCTGGTGTCCTGGCCAACAATCCTCCAGATCAATTGATCATCTACTTTAAGGCTATTTGTGGGGCTTTGCTATAAGTATTTGGCTAAAATAAATCACTTGACAATAATTATTGTGTAACATTCTTTCCTTGACTCCTTCCCTCTCACCTTCCTTCTTACAATCCCACTACCACCCTCCTTCATTCCATTGCTTCCTCCTTTCTTCATTCCCCCAGCTCTCATTAATCCGACCCTTTATTCTCTAAATTAGATGTGCTGAATTTAAAAAATGATCTTAACTTTTTCATCCTGTTAAATACATTTCAAGTTGGACATACTAAATTGAAAAGGTCATTACAATATTTTTCCATTCAAATTTTCCATTCAATTTAATGTAAATATGTTTCTGGTTTCTTTTGGGAAGCTGATTAGAATGTGACTTTGGTAGAAATTCACTGGGAATAACTTCTGCGTTGAATTCTTCTGATGCTGGACCATGCCAAATTATCTGTCTCACTCAGCCTCTCTGTGACTTTGACTCATTCCTTCCTTTTATTTCCTTGTAATATATAATAATCTTTGCATTTGATAAAGCGCCTTATCACGTCTTCGAGATGTCTCAAAGCACTTCACAGAATATACTGTAAAGTGAATTGACAGTGAATACCGTAAAGTGAACTCGCCAGCCAATTGCGCACAGCAGCGTCCCACAAACAATCGCGGATTGAGTGACCAAATTATTATTGTTTTCTTCTTGAGGGATTATTATCAGGCGTGTGGAGTAAGGAAACGTACTCCTGCCGGGTTTGGCATTTGAGGCAACGAGTACATTTCGAGCCCAAAATGCCAACGTGAGTGACTCCCTCCCTCCTTCGGTTCCCAGGCTTGGGTGGCCAGGCAGCAGGGTTGAGCACTTTGGGGAGTCCTGCCGACGTGAAAGGCCCGATATGACTATAATTGTATGAAAGTACCCGAAATTTTAATTTACACCAACAAAATATACAGTCAATTCGCTTCACAGTGTATCCTGTGAAGCGGTTTGAGACAACAACAACAAGATTCCATTTATAGAGCGCCTTTCACGTCAGGAGGACGTCCCAAGGCACTGTACAGTTGGGTCAAGACGTCTCGAAGACGTGATAAGGCGCTGTATTAAATGCCAGGAATATTATTATTATTATATTATTGCTCTTCAAATTTCCAATCCTATTGGCTGAGAGGCTCCCAATGTTTCTAGTCCGAGTGATCACAAATCCCCAATTCCTATTGGCTGACACGCTGGGCTTTCCCATTGGCTGCGGTGTGACACGAACTCGGCTCCGATTGGCAGCGCCGAGCGGCGCTGGACCAATCAGGAGCGAGAGACGTGGCAGAGGCGGGGAGCGGGAGGACGCTGGCAAGTACCAAATGCCTCTCCCCGAGGGGGGGGAGGGGAGGTATTATAACTCAGAGCTCATATAAGAGAGAAAAAAAATCATTTCGAATGTAATCTTTGCACTTTATTAGAATTTATAACATATTTACTAATATTGCAATTCTTTGACTGCGTGAAGATTTTATTCTGTCGATGTCAAGAGTGTCCCCCCCTCCCCCGTCCTTGAGCAATGGCTCAACCCACTCTCGAAGAAGCCCGGGTGGCGCCTGGAATGTTCCATTAGGGAGGGAGGGAGGGGAGCTTGGAATCCCACTAAAGTAAAATAATGTCCATTTAGAGTAGGGGTTTGGGGACTGAAGACGTTGGGATTTTTTAACGGACTTTGCGCAGTTTAACACTGGGAGTGCGGGCGTTGTGCGTGAGCCTGGATGCGGGGCTGAGTGCGGGACCTGGTGCTCTCCCCCGGCCCTCGGGTGCCCAGGAGTGGTATATCCCCGTCACACACAGTCCGGGCCTCGGTCTCTCGCCCTCTCGATGCGCGCCATCCCCGCCGACATGAAGCTGCTGCTCGTCACGGCGCTGCTCGCCGCCTCCATCATCTTCCTGCTCTTCCCCAGCGGCTCCGAGGCCGACGAGAAGAAAAAGGGCCCGAAAGTAACAGTCAAGGTAACAGCGGGAGAGAGAAAGACAAAGAGACCGGAGGGGGGGGGGAGGGGAGGTGTGGGGAGAGACTGGGGTGGGGTGGCCTGAGGCGCACACAGGCTCTCTGGCTCTTCGGCTGCTCTGAATGGCCACACAAAAAACACCCTGAGCTTCACAAAGGCGACCGTTGCTCTTTGTGCCCCACCCCCCACCCACACACACACACACACACACCCACCCCCTCACACACACCCACACACACACCCATACACACACACACCCCCCCCACACACACACACACACCCCCACCCCCACACACACACCACACACACACCCATACACACACACACCCCCCCCACACACACACCCATACACACACACCCCCCCCACACACACACACACACATACCCCCCCCCCCCACACACACACACACCCCCACCCCCTCACACACACATACCCACACCCCCCACACACACACACATACACCCCACACACACATACACCCCCCCACACACACACACCCATACACACACACACCCCCCCCACACACACATACACCCCACCCGCACACACACCCCCCCCCCCCACACGCACATCCCCCCCCACACCCACACACATACATCCACACACACACCCCAACACACACACCCCACACACATACACTCCTCCCGCACAAACACCCCCCACACGCACATCCCCCCACACACGCACACAAACCATTTTGTTGTGCGGGTGTTCGTTGTACAGTGGTGTCGCCCTGTGAGAGCTGACGCCGTGGGGCGCGATCGTGGATCATTGTTAATGAACAGCGTTATTCAAAGGGCCCTTATGCAATAGCTGTGAGGTCCCGGGGACCGGCCACGTGCTCCTTTGGTTGGAGGTACAAGAGTCACCAGAGCGGTGTGGCCATATATTCCAAACCAAATCTGGGGGTGTGTGTGTGTGTGTTCATATATATATATTAAAAAAATTGAACTTGCCACAATTCCTGATGCTGGCAGTCAGTCCTGTTGAATCTTAATCTTAATAATATAATAATAATCCTTGTATTTGATTTAGCAACTTGGATTAATGGCTGTAGTTCTCTTGATGAGTGTATCCCATTTTAGAGTTTCATTGTTCTTGCAGAGTTTGTTGCCGAACTCAAGACATGACATATTTGGCCAGGGACACGATATCTCATCTGGGGATTGTCCCTGGGAAATGGAGGATGCACGGTCACCCTTAAATGATGAATATCAACTTTGCTTTCACTTCCATGTTATAACAGGCCTTTGCTATTGAACACTCACACCACTCTTGTGGATAAGGTGCTACATCAAATAAAAATATATTGCTATATCAAATGCAAGTCTTGGTTGCTGTGGGGTATTGCTTTCCTGAACGTTTGTGTTCTCTTTGCCGTTCCCCACCTGATTGTTGATCTTTAGACTAGATTTCTGTTTCCTTATATTATCTGGCCAAACATTTGCTGGTAAGCAAATCGCAGGTCCATCCTTCCTCCCAGAGCCTGCAGACAGGAAGCTTAAAAATTCCACAGCAGAATAAAGAGACCTTGTCTCCAGCTACCATTTTACTCTGGCGAAGAAATAGAACTGGGAAGGGTTGATTTTCATTTTTAATGTTTTACGTATTGAACATTTTTGAATTCTGATGGAAAGATTTTTACTTCATGAAAATTGGTGTGAATTGAATGTAAATTCCTCCCTCCCCTCCCAGAACACTGCTGCATTGAATTCACAGCCGGGTGATTAATGAGGAGTTCTGTTTTATGCTCGTGGTCTTGGATTTCAGCTCCACCACTGCTTCTATGGCTTTAGCTAGCTCCTTCATTTTATTCATGCCAAAATATTTCCCCTGCTCTGCTAGGAATGTGCTTCTTTCCTAATCTGTGGGTGTTCTCTGCTGTTCGGTGCATTATACCTCCACAACACACATTCTGAGTGCAGTTTGAGGCAGCCTTGTGAGCAGTTCTGCATGTATATCGATAATGAGTCAGTAAAGTCAATCGAGTGAGTTTAGAACAGAATTTAGTAGCTCCTAGATCAAGAGTCTGCACCATTAGGTGCTGGATAATTTTTTTTGCTGCTTTCTTTCATAGCTATTAGCAGCAGAGAGTGACTTTCCTTTAGGTTAAGCATCATTTGCTCTATGCAAATCGCAAAATCGCTTGTAGTTCCACACCCATGATTGTACTAGGAGACATCTGGTCTTGCTGAGTTGTGGGATCTTACCACACAGGCATGTTTAGATGAAAGTGAACCTAAAAGGGGTGGGTTTCAGGACCCACCCAAATGTTCATAAAGCTCTGGATCCTCTCAATTGTTACAAATTTGCAACATCAGGAAGATGGACCAATTACCAATGGAAGGCCATTTGGAAATGAAATGCTCAGCTCCTGAATGGGAGTCAGGGGTAAGATCTGCTACTGTAGACCTTCAGAGTTGACAAATTTTAACCTGTACCTGAAAAAATGGCTCTGCAAGCTGTTTTTTGACAAATGTGCTGTTTTTTGCCAGACTCTACCCTTCATTCTGAACAAAAATTCCAATTCTTGGTCTGACAACAGAAGCCTGGTATCTTGAATTTAATGGTTTAAATGCTTAATGCTGCATTCAGCATTATTCTTCAGCTAATTACTTACTGATCTTCAATTCTGTCTTATTGTTAATCTGAGGTCCTACAGGCAAAGTGGTGTCTAGTTGTGAATGAGTTACCAGTGCAATGTAACCAGGTGTGTGTTTGTAATGAAAAAAATGGTTTTACCTATACAGGTAGCCTGTAGCTAGTGGTTAGACTCACTCTTTTATTTTCCTCCTTTAGGTGTATTTCGATCTAAGGATAGGAGACGAAGATGCAGGTCGCATTGTCTTTGGTCTTTTTGGAAAGACCGTTCCAAAGACGGTTGAGAATTTCGTAGCATTAGCAACCGGAGAGGTAAGGCTGTTAGAATATGCCTATCACACGATGACTGTTCCTCCTGTAGCTTCAAGTCTCAGCTGCAGGATTTTATGTTGTCGTAGATCAAACCTGACTTTATTCACTCGGAACGCACTGGGACGTCTGGTATTGTCCATCTGCGTTTTGAATTTTGCGGAGTCAGACATGTTTTTACATACTCTTTCTGGCCAGCATAGCGGGACAGAGAATCGAGTTGCCTCTGCCATTTTGATGTGGCCTTCCACTTGATTAATTCTGAAAATAAGAATATTTTAAAAAATGTATTGGGTAACTTTTGTGTGTGAGGGTGCTACTGAATACCATTGTGTAGGCTGAAGGGCCATCTGGCTTTGGAGTACAGGTAGTACTCTCATCTTCCCCGTATTTAATACCTCTTATGCTTCCTCTTCAGAAAGGATTCGGTTACAAGGATAGCAAATTCCACCGAGTGATCCCAAACTTTATGATCCAGGGTGGAGACTTCACTCGTGGGGACGGCACTGGTGGTGAGATAATCAGTTACTCTCTGTCATCTCAGTCTCCTGTTAATTGCACAATGGTATTTGTAGTTTACTCAGAACTTTGTTCTTTTCACACTTCTGTTTGAAAGTACAGGGATTCTTAACCTGGCCTTTGACTCCTCAGCACTCTGATTATTTGGAGATTAAACCTCATCTTCTCTTGCAGGTAAGAGTATTTATGGCGATCGATTTCCTGATGAAAACTTCAAGCTGAAGCACTATGGACCTGGCTGGGTCAGCATGGCCAATGCTGGCAAGGACACGAATGGCTCCCAGTTCTTTATTACCACAGTGAAGACTTCCTGGCTGGATGGGAAGCACGTAGTCTTTGGGAAAATCCTGGAGGGAATGGTAAGAAGATACCAACATATGTCACTCTTGCTATCTGCTATCTCTATACTGACGTGTATATTTACCCAAGCCTGCAAAAGTAGCAGCACATTGTCCCAAAACCAACCAGTCATTTAGAAGCTAAAAAAGCTGGTTGAGAGTTTCTCTGCTCTTTGGTTTGTAGTGAAAGCTTTCTTTTGAATTAATGGCCCTATTTAAAACAAAATCCTATTTATTCTTTCCAACCTATTATCTTACTTAACTAGTATTGTATTCAAGCATTTAATTTTCGTGGGGTGGGGGGGAATTTATGCACACAGCTTCAGAGATGTCAATCTGCAGCTGGTACACTGCACCTAGGTGTCAAACAGCACTAACATCCTGCATAAAATAAAAATCTCCATCCCAAGAATTGCAACACTGATTCAGATTTTTTTAATGATTATGTAGTTATGCTGTTGAATAACTTTCTACAGGGTTCTACAATGCATAATTTCAAATAATATTCCCTAGTGGTTAATCTTGAGCATTTCAATAAGATTCTTCAACCTGACCTGCCAGTTTTGGAGGTGATTTATTTGGCTCTAATCTCTGCTTTTTTTGCAGGATGCTGTTGACAAAATAGAGCACGCAAAAACAGACGCCAAAGACAAACCGTTGAAAGATATAATTATTGCTGACTGCGGTGTGATCGAGGTAGAGAAGCCCTTTGCAATTGCCAAAGAATAACATCTTACAAGGTCTGGATCGGAGAGTTTGTTGCTGCAGGGTCTGTACTTCTGGCCTCAAAGCTGTAAGATGCATCTTAAATTCATTGTTATTCAGCCATCTGTTTAACGTAAACTGCTATTGGACCAACTGGGGCTTAGAGATAATTCCAACATCGCAAATTTGTAAAAGAAACTTAATAAATGACTTTTGTAATGAATGTTGCTTAGAATTTAGCTTCAACATGGGGCTTGATCTTCTGACACAAATCTAAACTTATGGTTAAAAAAACAGGAAATTCAGAATACCTTTTTAGCATTTTTATTCTAAACAGCATGTGGCAACGATAAAAGGTACAATGCAATCAATGTTACATTTTATGAATGGAGCCTCCATTATGAATGAAAGCATTTACTGGAGGTTGGATTCTCTAGGAATGAGTAATGTTAGCTCTACCCACAGAACTGGCATATGGACTGACCTGATTGATCATCCAAGTTATGCCGATTCCAAGTGATATGGCTTAAACTTGATGCTTCTTCACCTGGCAATGGCATAGTCATAGCAAGGTATGCTAGCGTTGAAGGGGTACCTTGTTCTTTCACATAGCCTTGGCTGTGACGGAATCCATACAAGCACAAGATAAGAATTAAATGCATTTAGCAAAGGGTTGGCTCGTCTGAAAGTGAGGAATAAGAAAGTCAGCAAAGTGCTGTCACACCATGATGCTCTCTGGGCCTAAGAAATAGAGGCTTGCTTCTGGTTCAGCAGAGTCTGCCTCATCAAGCATCGGTGAATCGTTCTCTGGCAGATAGAGTCCCAGCATAACACCTTCAACAACCACATTGGGGAGCAGATCTGCAAACAAAGAGAGAGAATGAAGTCAAGCCACCAGATATTCCACACACAACCAGGGTTCAGAATTGGTGCAGCAGAAAGACAGTGGAATCGCATCTGAAGAATGAGATTAATGTCAGAAGAAACCTGTCCAGCTATGATTTCCCAAATTAATACCAAAGATGAAGGGTGTTAAATATGATCAAAGGCTGGGTAGACACTTAAGCTGTATTCGTTGGCAGACAATTCTGATTGAAGTGTTTAAGGTAATGCAAGAGAATTGCTGAGCTAAATATGACTATTCCCTCTTAACCATGGGATTGGAGTTAAATTCAAATTTGCATTACTTAATGTTGATGTAAAGTAACACTGGCATAAACCAGCAGATGGCAGCACCTCTCACCAGATTAGTGGCTTCTTCCCATCATCAATTTTTTTAAAAAAGGCTTAAACTAACTAGTTTCCCAGTGTTGATCTCCTGTGAAGGGGCTGAATTCTGAGCTCTCACCAGCTTAACGAAAAGGAAAACGGAGGCCACAGGTTTAGCCCACAAAGTCACTTTACAGGTCGTGTTTGGCCAAGGCGAGTGCAGCTATCAGCCTCCAGATCAATAATGGAGATAACAATAACAAAATGGGAAATCTGATAACAATAACAAAAGGCGGTCGGGTGAGCAGAGATATCCCTGGTGGTTTTACCTGAATGGGTGCCAACACAATTTGATCACTTGCAACAACATAAAGTAAGTAAAACTGCACATTTTACTCCAGAGATATTTTGAATACAATATGGTCCATTATGCCACAATCTCAGTGTTTGTGGCATTTTTTGTCACTGTGCGGCTCTGCCGTTGATGCAGAGTGGGTGCCTCTCCCGGACATGAACCGAGACCCCTAATCAGCAACTGCTCCAGGTGGATCAGCCCAGCACCACACGGTGACTAGATTTTCAAATGTAGCCTCACTCCCTAACCCCATCACATGACCATTACCTGAGGTAGTCGGCTGAGCAAACATATCCCTGGTGAAAGTGACCACCTGCTGTCGGAAACATCTGGAAAAGACAAGAGCACAGGAATAGTGTCCCCTGTATCTGACTCATTCACTTGACCTCTCACTTTCCATCCCTTGCACAGGAATTTAACAGAAGGCAGCCAGACCATTTGGCCCACAAAGGCCACTGGGTCACTGAACTTCCACAGCTCTTCACAGTACCCTAATCCCATTTCTGTGAATGTTTCCAATTGCTAAGTGTCTATTGATTTCTTTCTCAAATCCCTCAATTTCTCATCTTTAATTTTCTCGGGTAGCACTGATTTCAAATTCATATCACTCTTAAGAAATTCTTCCATAACTGGGACCTGTTTTGCTTTAAATTTTAAAAATCCCATCTTCTAGTCATCACATTTCTCTTTGTCTTAACTCTTCATGTCTTTTGCCCTCCAATCTGTAAGCATCTTTCTTTCCTAGACTCCACTTCCTGTCCCCTTCTTGCTCTCAGCCTGATCAATTATAGACAGGCTGGCAACAGCCAAACACAACTCCACGCATTAACCCCCAGGTTCCTCCCTTCAGGACAGGCAGCTTGTCACTCACCTGCAGGAGTGCAGATCAAAATTGTCGTCCAGAGAACTGGAAGGGGGAAACAAAAAGCCACATTAGGCAGATCAGAGACTAAAGGGAATTGGAGAACCCAGAAATAAATGTTCTCGGGTACAACTAGCTCAGTACTACAACCTAAGCAACAGAACCCTGGAGGAATCGGCAGAGTCCATTCAGTGAGGCCCTCGTCCAGCCAGGAAATGATCAGTCATTCAAGGCACTGCATTAATGCATTACAGTACTCCAGAACAGAAAGCCAAAGGTTCTCAGACCAGCATATTACCAATCTCAGCTGGGAGGCAGATGTGGGATTTTCTGTTACACAGAATGGCTGCAGCTCATCTTATTCCAAATTGTTCTCATTTTGTGAAGTGCTTCTCATACACAAAACCCACTAAGAGCCCTCGTGGTTATTTGATGTTCTTGGCTGGAGAGCCAGGAACACGGTTTCCAGGAAGCTGTAAGTGAATGTCATTGTAAATGCAGGTTTAAACCTGAAATGTGACAATGACCCTGGCTGACAAACATGCCCTTTCCCATCACCTCATTGTGACAGACAGTCCATTTCCCCCAACCCCTCACTAATGGACTGCGAAAATACACATGCATGCATATGCAGATGGAGGTTAAAGATCCAAATTGAAAAGAGTTTCTCCTGGTATCCTGACCAACAATCCCCCCCCCCCCCCCAATTGCCACAGAATGACCTCCATCTATTGGGAGAGTATTCTGCATATCCCTGGTCTCCCACCTAATTTCAAGCTTGTTATCAATTTTAAAGTTCTTCGAGCCTAGATCAAGTGAAATCATCCACCCCATCCACGTAAACCTTTCAGGATTTATTTTTAGAGTGATAAAATATCGAGATCATATTCTGTCCAATGGCAATTAATTAACAAAGTTAAATTTGATTTTGTGGTTGGACATATGCCTCAGATTCTGAGTGTACATAATAATCCTTGCATTTGATACAGCATTTCATCACATCAAAGAAGTCTCAAAGCTTTATAAGATACATTGTGAAGTGTGTACAATCCCAGCAATGCTTGCAGTGAGATGTAGAGAATGTGAGAGGAATGAGGAGGATGAGAGGCACTTACTCCAAACTGGTCTTTTTGCTCAGAGATGGGATGTTCTTAATGTTCAGGAACTCAAGCACCTCTCTGGGTAGCTTCTCATTCTCCCGCACCACACCCTGGGGGAAGAGAGAGTGAGAGAGAGGAGCCAGGCAGTCAGCCTCTATTGATACAGCATCACAGAAAACGGGTGGGTTAGTGGGCAGACAAAGAGGGATAGCAGTGATCTGAGACCCTCAATGAGAAAAGGAAACAAAACACAGATACACAGACAGGATGGTAGATTGTTTCTGCTCTTAGCACCGGTGGTGAGAGGGCGAGGAGCTTGAATGAGGAGAAATACGACTGAGCTTCATAGCAATATGACATCCAAATTAATTCATTGTTGGATTCAGGCTCAAACTAACAGATTGCAATCACCTCACTCACTCAGCCAAGAGTGCAATCAGCCTGTGTGCTGTCCACTGATCAGAGTGCAACTCTGTAAGCTTCCTAGTCCACTGACCCAATAACAACAACTTATATTTGTTTAGTGCCTTTCATGTCGGGAGGACAGTGTTGCACAGTCAGGGATTTAGACCGAGCAGGGGGTTAGGATCAGGCCAGGGAGCGTAGGGGTAGGAGGGTGACTGAAGGCACAGTCGAAGAAGAGGGTCTAGAGACAGGCCTTGAAGGGGGCAAGGGAGGGAACGAGGCAAAGGGACTGTTGGATGGAGTTCCAAAGGGTGGGAGCAGAAAGTCTGAAGGCCCGATCAACCCACATGGACCAGGAAGCCCCAATGGTTGATCTGCTCTGTGCTTTAGCCAATTAAGCCTTGAAGGGTGTCAGTACTGTGAAGCACTCAAGCCACTGTTTAGATCAGTGTCTCTTACCTGTATATACACCTCTAGTCCATGTCTCTTGTGCTCCAGAGCCTTCGGCCTTCGATTGAGTCCTCGCTTAGGAGGGAAATCGGGTGGCTTGGTTGTCTTTTTTAGCTGTTGGAAAGAGGAAAGGAGCTGAGGTATAAGAGCAATAGCACAGGTGAGACTGAATGTGTCTACTCACTGTGGCTGCCCAAATTCCCTCACATGCTGCCCGTGTAATGAAGAGAAACAAGAGGCATTCATCCCATTCACTTTAAGTCCTTGCCTTAAAGAGGACAGGACTTGCTTATCACACTGTGCGCACAGTCTGGTCACTGGAAAACACAATGTGCAATGTACAGACACCAAGTCACTTACCTTCTTATGGAGAGCCTGAAAGTCTCTGTATCGCCGCTCAATGAAGTGCTTTCTGCCATTGATGAAGACTTCGACCCTGAAGACCTGCAAAAAAAAACACCCACTGGGTCAGTGCACGAACGGCTGCTCTGATATTAACAGTTTGTGCTGGTGAGACCAGGCTGCTCGACTCATGCGAGACACAGCAAGATAATGTAGAGTCCTGTAGCTCAGTGCTTAGAGCACTCGCTTCGCAAGCGAGCGGACGCAGGTTCGATTCCCAGGCAGGGCGAAACCTTAGGCACCTTACTCCACACGCCTCTGTTTACCTAGCAAAAAGTAGGAATCCAGTTGTAGGTTGATTGCCAGATTGCTTTCTGGAGGTGATGATCCCTTCAAAAATAAGTAAATAAATAATACTAATTTGGTCAGTCAAACCACGAGTATTTGTGAGACATTGCTGTGCGCAATTAGCTGCCACATTTTGCCCACAAAATATACAGTCGATTCGATTCATATATTTTGAGACATCTGACTGTGATAAGACACTACATCAAATGCAAGGATCATTATTATATTATAAAGGGGCGTGAGGAGAGCTTTATAATTGCAAGTTGTTGCAGTAAAGTATACGCATGTGTTACATTGGGTGTTCTGAAAGGAATGAGATCAAATGGGTCCAAGGGCTTTCTTCACCCAAACCTCTCATGATCAACAGGAACACAAGTAATAAACAGATTTGTTAAATGTCCTCGCACGTGACCCGCCTTTCCTGTTGCTCACTGACAAATTTCCAGCACCATTCAAGCTGCACAGAGCGAGACAGACCTCAGCAGAAATTCATGTCACGCAGCATTTCAGCCACTGACATGCGATCCTGAGGACAAGCTTCCATTCACTGAGAGACGGGACTGCACCTGCAGCACGAATGATTCAGCTGCTCGTGCAGTCAGTCAGCTCCGGCCCCGTGAATGGAACTCATTGAAATAATCTCTCGTGCACACACCACAGCTTCCCACAGCTGTGCCCAACACTCCTTGACCGGATATTACACTACAGCTGACTCGACCATCAGGAACTAAACTTGTGACAAACCGTGCTCTCTGCTCAGCTCCACCCGCGTCTCTGGCTGAGAGGAGCCACAGGACAGGGCTCAGCCTCGGAAGAGGAGGGATGAGCAATAACAACAAAATCTTGCATTTATATAGTGCCCTCCTGTATCTAAGGTGTAACACAGCAAGGCGGTAGGCAGTGGGGTGGGTGGGATGTGGGGGATTGCAATGAGCAGGAAGCACAAAGTTTCAGAACAACATTTCAGTGAAAATTTTAAGGGGAACAGAAAATATTTCTTTAGTTGTCTAATGCCTCACTCTGGGTTCCCTCATACCATTTACTTTTCTTTCTCTTTCATAACTTATTTTTAAAGTAACTTGCATTTTAAAAATAATCTTTCTTATCTTTTGTAACACTTGCAAGTTAGTGTTTCCTCCCCGAGTTTTGTCCTCTCCCAAACGCACTGACTCATGCTGGGGGACAGTTTGACAGACACTCTTGAGGTGCCTCACTCAAGTGGCTGTCCCTAAGGTACGAGCCCAGTCAGTGAGCACAGGTTTGACCGGGAGGTGAGCATCACAGCTAAGCCCCCAATACTGGCCTAATAAACTCACATGCACCGGGGATTGCTGGCCAGCAGTCAAGTGGTAGCGTTCTCGCCTCAGAGTCAGAAGGTTTCAGGTTAAACCTCGCAACAGGACTTGAACTCAGTCAATGCTGACACTGACACTCCACAGCAGTACTGGGGCTGTGTTGGGCTGTTGGAGGTGCCGTCCTTCGAATGAGACGTTAAAGATCCCATGGCACTATTCAAAAAAGGGAGTTTCTCCCGGTCTCCTGGCCAATAAGCCCCCAAATAAAATTGGCAATTCATTTCATGGTTGTTTGTGGGACATAGCAATGCACAAATTGTCCACCGCATTCGCTCACAAATGCACAGTCACTTCACTTTACAGTAAATCCTCTGAAGCGCTTTGGGACGTCCTCCCAACGTGAAAGATGCTGTGCCAGATGAAAGGATTAATATTACCAGGAGCAGGTTTCCCTATCCCCAACCCAGAGCCAGGTTCAAGTACACTTGTGCTGGCTGATCATTCAGATACAGAACTGTAAATGTCCGTTACAGGTTTTCAAGCTATTACATTTCAGAGTATTTTATCATATCTGTTACTGTCCTTCCTGTATCTGGGGTGTAACACAGGCAGGGAGTAGTTCTGTGTAACCGGGGAATGATAAATAGATCCTTTTGTGGCTTGAATCCACACGAGAACACCACTGAATTCCAACTAACCAGGCTGCAGATCAGTGTTTATTATGATGAGCTGCACTCTGTGGTCACCGAGCTCGAGTCAGGTTCACAAACTAGCCCAGAGTGAGAGACACTATTCACAGCCCAGTATTGTTCTGTTTCTTTCACTGCAGTGTGCAAGAGCAACAAACACTGCAAAGTAACTTCAAACCCTCGCACCTCAAGGGTTGGCAGTAGGCAATGTAACAGCAGCTCAGACAGGTACAACACACGCACATACATGTGTACTTACAAAGTATGCTGCACATGCACACACACGCCACACATAGACTTTTGAAGAGGAGGAATATTAAAGAGTAGGTGAGTGAGCAGGGAAATTAAATAATAACTCAGACAGAGAAAAAATAGCAGCGCAGACTTGATGGCCCAAATGGTTTTAACATTCGATGACTGGAGGCGTACACACATGCGCACATAGACAGTCTGCTCTGGGTCACTGCTGAATGCTTAATATGTAATCTGAGGTAAGTTTCCTTACTCCACAAGCCTCTGTTCAATTAGCACTGAGTAGGTCCCCAGTTATTAGTTAATTTTCAGATCACTTACCGGGGATAATAAACCCTTAAAAAAATAATTTGATCACTCAATCAATGATCGTTTGTGGGACACTGCTGTCCGCAATTGGCTGCCTCGTTCGCCCACAAAATACACACTCAATCCACTTCACAATATATTCTGTGAATCGAAGGTCTCGAAGGCCCTATATCAAAATGCAAGTATATTATTATTATCTTTGACTCCTGCTCGAGTGTTTGCATTCAAGAAACAGCCGCCCACCAAACAGCAGCATCACTAACTTACAGACAGAGCCGCCTTCCAATGCAGAACTCTGCCTCACATGCAACTCAAACAGTAGGTTGTGTGTGAAGGGAAGAGAGAAAAATCAAACGCAAATCACATTTGCATTCTCAAAAGCAGTGCGTGGTGCTATCAACATTGTACATGCTTGTTACAATCAGCAGAGTTTAACATCCCCGGAGGCTCAGTCGGGCTGAGACAGGTGGAAATAAATCTACATTCTTTCTTCATGAGCTTGAATCCCTCAATTGGTTTATTTTTATGATAATCTATATTTGGACAGATCCTGGAAACTCTGTATATTCCACAAGGGTGGCGTGGTGGCAAGGAAGCTCAGAGGAAAGGGTGTTAGAATTTTACAGTGCGTAACCCCATTAAGGTCAAGCACTGACTTCACTGTATCTACATTTTACTCTGAGCAACTAATGCATATTAATCTGCCCTGAGACACCGCAGATTGATCCAAAGCCCATTATTATTCTAAACACGATAACCACACTTGGTTTTTTATATTGTTATTCTCTCCCCTTCCCTCTGGTCTGACTGGTTCAACGTGTGGTGTGAAGCCCAGACTTGCTTACATTCTTCCATCAACAACAACCTACTTTTGTATAGCATCTTTCACGTCAGGAAGAAGTCACAAAGCACTAATCACACCGAAACCAGATGCGATAGCTCTGAGGGACTTGGAACGTTGAGGCTTTTACAGTAACCATGAGAGTGTTGAGCTCAAGCCTACCGAGGCTTTTGAAATTATGAAGGGCTATGATAGGATAAATAGTAATAGATTACTTGCACCAGGCGATTAGTAATGAGAAACCAAATTTAAAAAGAATTAGAGATTAGCAAATATGTGCGTATACAGACAGCAGCTGGAATGTAGAATTCTCTATCATACACCACAGTTGAATCTATAGTTGAAGACATCAATCCTTTTTAAAAGCATTAAATAGGTGAATGAAAGAGAGTACACTCATGTTTTTATGAAGTCCTTCACCAAGGCTAGCATCAGTGTACTCCACAAAGAGGTAGGTTTTTAGGCCAAATTGAAGACTGACCGAGTGGCGGAGGGTGAGGTGGAAGGGTAGAGGGATGGAGATCTGGTGTTTAACAGCATAGTTGCTGAATGGTAAGGGGAGTGAGGAGAACAGAGAGATTAGATCAGATGTCTTATGAGAAGAAAACCATCTGCGCTGATTAGCCAAATGGTCTGTTTCTGTGCAGGAATGTTCTACGACTTGTGCAGATTGAATTTTGTGCTCCACCTTTTTAAGCACTAATGATACTCCTTACATTTCATACAGAGCCTTTCATGTCAGGCCAAAGCACTTCACAGTCTTTATCGTAAAATGAAGTGACTGTGGATAATCGCGGCAGTCAGTTTGTCCACAGCAATGTCCCACAAAGAACCGTGAAATGAATGAGCAATTTTATTTGGGGGATTGTCGGCCAGGACACCTGTTCTGTGCGTCCCACTGATGTGCTCATTGCAGTTAGCAATGGATTGCTAGAGGAAGCTTGACAGTAGAGTTAGTGTTTTTCCACCTTTACTCTCTTCTCTATAAACTGCGGTGTGCGCATGCCAGCACAGGATTAGATAAGGATGTAATTGCCTTGCGAACAGAGTGAAGCTCAGAGCTGGGTTTGTGGAGGGAAGGAGTTCCAGTGCAGGTGTGGGGCTGGCTGGCGAGTTGTGTACACACTGTAATTTGTGTACAATAGGAAACAAGTATTTATAGTGCCTTTCTTTCACTGCGTGGCAACAGAAGTAAATACAGGAATTAAGTCTTGCTGCTGCACACAATGTACAGTAATTGTCGACAAAACTGAAACGACCTGGACTTTCACACCATCAGTGGATGAGCTTTCAGTCACGGTGGCCCTGCGCTTTGGTAAAATCATCTTACATTTACACAAGCCACTCCACTTTACAATATAGTCTGTGAAGCACTTGGAGACATCTCAATGATATAAGGCACAATATCAAATGCAAGGATTATTACTACTGTCAAAGTGGGAGAGTCATTGGGTCTATTTTCTGCTGAGAGAGGCCAGAAAGTTAAACACATTTGAAATACTGAGCACCTTGTAGCATTTCTATTCCTACCCCACTTGTAATCAGTAACTTGCCACAGATATAATAAGACTTGCATTTGATGTCACGCCTTACCACATCGTTGAGACATCTCAAAGCGCTTCACAGGATATACTGCAAAGTATCAAAAACAGATGTCGCTGGGAACACTCAGCAGGTCAGGCAGCATCTACGGAGAAAGGAAAGAGAATCAACATTTCGGGTCCACGACCCTTCGTCAGAAGTGATGAAAGGTTGTGGACCCGAAACGTTGACTCACTTTCCTTTCTCAATAGCTGCTGCCTGACCTGATGTGTGTTCCCAGAGACTTAGTAATAATACTTGCATTTGATGTAGCACCTTATCACGTCGTTGAGACATCTCAAAGCACTTCACAGAATATACTGTAAAGTATAGTGACTGTTTGTGGCCAATTGCACACAGCAGTGTCCCACAAACAGTCGTGGATTGAGTGACCAAATTATTATTATTTATTGATGTATTTAGTGAGCAAGTGAGGTAAGATATTACAGCAGCATGAATAACTGTAGGCTTCAGAAGACTGAAAAGGAGATAATTTAAACCATTTGTACCACACATTCATGCAAAGTTGGGAGAAAGATCAGTCCCAGATAAGCTAAAACTTCTTTTTGAAAATTTGCCTCAGAATTGGTAGAACATCAATTCCAGGATATTTTCTCTTCACTGTGCAATTCCCCCCCAAAAAAAGAATTTGAACTTCATCTTTCTGTTCTACTGTAGAACTACAGGACTGTCCGGGACCCTGCTAAACATTTCTTGTTTATTATTTGTTTATTTATTATTTGGCTCCTCGCAACTTCTGTTTTTGTTTCAGATTTGCAGCATCTGCAATATGTTGCGTTTTGTTGATACTGTAAAGTAGACTGACTGCGTGTTTTGCGGGCAAAACGGAGGACCTTCTTGGTTAAATGTTACAGCAAATGGTACATTTGCCTTTCGAGTCAGAGATGCTGGTCTAATTCAGTCCTACTTCAAACAATGCAGGTGAAGGAGCCACCCTCCGTCAGCCAGTCCCACTCATCTAACAATCTATGACTGTTTGTAGGACATTGCTGTGCGCAATTGGCTGCCGCGTTCGCCCACAAATATACAGTCAATTCACTTTACAGTGTGTTCTGTGAAGCGCTTTGGGACGTCCTCCTGACGTGAAAAGCGCTATATCAAATGCAAGGATTATTATTATTATTATTATTATCTGCTGCACCTGTTGACCTTATCTAATTCTTTTGGTGATCCAGTCATGATTGACTCACAACCAGTGCAGTCAATGGATTCCAATTAACACCATCATAACCCCTCATCATTTGGAAAACCTCAAGTCTGGAGGAGAAAATAACCTCAAATCTCTCCATCCCTGGTAACAAACTTGTGAATGGATCTGATGGTGCAACTTTTTCTATCGCTTGCTAAAGGGGTACAGTGATGTCCAAGTATTTGGTTGGGAATCAGAGGTCAGTCTCTGTCTCTCTCAATAAACTATAAGGGAATCATTGAGACTGGAAGCTCTCAGACTGGAGGTTGGGGTCCCTGTCTGGTTCAGGTCAGATCATACTGTGACCCCCTCCCCCCCCCCCATTGCTGGTTTGCCCCCAGGGTGTTGGCTGTCTTCGAAAGGCATTTTAAGACCGTTTCAACGTGACAACTGCTGAACCCCAACTCTGACTTGTTTGGGTGCAACTTGGGGGGGGGGGGGTCAGGCGGTTTTTAATCTTATTATTATGACCTTAGTGGGCTATTCAAATAAGGTTTACATAAAGCAAAGAGAGACACACACACAGAACCCCCCCACACGCACAGACCCCCCCCCCACACACACAGACCCCCCCACACACACACACACCCCCACACACACACAGACCCCCCCACACACAGACCCCCCCACACACAGACCCCCCCACACACAGACAGACCCCCCCCCACACACACACACACAGACCCCCCCCCCACACACACAGACCCCCCCCACACCCACAGACCCCCCCCACACCACAGACCCCCCCACACACACACCCCCCCCCACACACACACACACAGACCCCCCCACACACACACACACAGACCCCCCACACACACACAGACCCCCCCACACACACACAGACCCCCCCCACACACACACACACAGACCCCCACACAGAGACCCACAAACAGATGCAACAAACTCTCCCATTAGTGGAAACTTACATTTATATGAATTCGATACAATTCAAAGCAACAACAGAAACCGCTCTCACTCTCTCCCTCTGTCTCACATTCATTCTCGTTCTTATTCACATTCACTCTCTCTCTCACTCCCCCTCTCTGACTCTCACTCTCTCTCACTCCCCCACTCTCACTCTCTCTCTCACTCCCCCTCTCTCACTCTCTCTCTCACTCCCCCCCCTCTCTCTCTCACTCCCCCTCTCTCACTCTCTCTCTCACTCCCCCCTCTCTCTCTCACTCCCCCTCTCTCACTCTCTCTCACTCCCCCCCTCTCTCTCTCACTCTCTCACTCCCCCCTCTCTCACCCTCACTCTCTCACTCTTACTCTCTCTCTCACTCCCCCCTCTCTCACCCTCACTCTCTCTCTCACTCACCCTCTCTCTCTCACCTCCTCTCTCACTCTCACTCCCCCTCTCTGTCTCCCACTCCCTCACTCTCACTCCCCCCCTCTCTCACTCTCACCCCCTCTCACTCTCTCTCTCTCACTCCCCCTCTCTGACTCTCACTCTCACTCCCCCTCTCTGACTCTCACTCTCACCCCCTCTCACTCTCTCTCTCACGCTCTCTCTCTCACTCCCCCTCTCTGACTCTCACTCTCACCCCCTCTCTCACTCTCTCTCTCACGCTCTCTCTCACTCCCCTCTCTGACTCTCACACTCACTCTCACCCCCTCTCACTCTCTCTCACTCCCTCTCTCTCACTCCCCCTCTCTGACTCTCACTCTCACCCCCTCTCACTCTCTCTCTCACTCCCCCTCTCTCACTCTCTCTCTCGCGCTCTCTCACTCCCCCCCTCTCACTCTCTCTCTCTCTCACCCCCTCTCTCACTCCCCGCCTCTCACTCTCTCTCTCATTACCGTGTGCAGTTTGTCGGACTGTCCGGTGGGTTCCTGCCCTATGGATGGAATGCAAACCTGGAACATCGCTGGTGGGAGAGGGGCGGACACAGTGTATCGGGAGAATTTCTGGATGGATCCTCTGCTCTCCCCCGGGGGGGCGGGGCTCTGTGTGTGTGTGTGTGGGAGGTGTTGGGGGTGTGTGTGAGCTCTGTGTGTGTGTTGGAGGTGTGTGTGAGCTCTGTGTGTGTGTTGGGGGGTGTGTGAGCTCTGTGTGTGTGTGTGTTGGGGTGTGAGCTCTGTGTGTGTGTTGGGGGGGTGTGAGCTCTGTGTGTGTGAGCTCTGTGTGTGTGTGTGTGTTGGGGGGGTGAGCTCTGTGTGTGTGTTGGGGGGTGAGCTCTGTGTGTGTGAGCTCTGTGTGTGTGAGCTCTGTGTGTGTGTGTGTGTTGGGGGTGTGTGAGCTGTGTGTGTGTGTGTGTTGGGGGGTGTGAGCTCTGTGTGTGTGTGTGTGTGTGAGCTCTGTGTGTGTGTGAGCTCTGTGTGTGTGTGGGGGTGTGAGCTCTGTGTGTGTGTGTGTGTGTGTGTGAGCTCTGTGTGTGTGTGTGTTGGGGGGGGTGTGAGCTCTGTGTGTGTGTGTGAGCTCTGTGTGTGTGTGTGTTGGGGGGTGTGAGCTCTGTGTGTGTGGTGTTGGGGGTGAGCTCTGTGTGTGTGTGAGCTCTGTGTGGTGTGGGGGGGGGGTGTGAGCTCTGTGTGTGTGTGTGAGCTCTGTGTGTGGTGTGTTGGGGGGGGGGGGGGGGGGGGTGTGAGCTCTGTGTGGTGGTGTTGGGGGTATAAGCGCCTCCTGATCCACTCAATGTCAATTCCAATTCCCTTCTCAGCTCCTCCTCCATCTCGAGCTTTCACACCTTCACACACTGAGTAAAGCTGTTTTATTTTCAAGCTCTCACTTAATGTTCAGAATTAAGGTAATCCAATCACTCAAACAATTCTTTTTTCATCTGAAACAAATTATCAAACCTGCAGCAGACACCAATAAACCCCAACCCTCCCCCACACACTCTCTCCCCCCCCCCCTTTAATTCTTTTTTTGACTTAAATTTGTGTCCCCTGGTTACTGATTCAATGACCATCAGAAATAATAATAATGCAGAATTGTTGCTGCAACATCTGAAAGGGTTTCTCTCCGCAAAAGATGCTCAACAACTGAGCAATGAATCCATTACACGGTCCGATTACTGGAACACTCCAGTCATCCTTTACACAAGAGTCCTGTAGCATAACGGTGAGAGCGCTCGCTTCGCCAGCGAGAGGACTTGGGTTCAATTCCCCGGACGGGGCGAAAGGTTAGGCAAGTTTCCTTACTCCACACACTTCTGTTTACCTGGAAGTAACAAGCGATTAGTGGATCGCTTTTCTGGGGTAATAATCCCCTAAAAAACATGATAAAGTGCTATATGAAATTGCAAGGATTATTATTATGTCCTCCGATCCTCCATTGGTGGTTGGGCTTTCAGCCTTTCTGCCCCCGCTCTCTGGAACTCCATCCCGGAATCCCTCCACCTTGGTCCCTCATCTCTTTCAAGGCCCGTCTCAAGATTTTCCTCTTTGACCGTGTCTTTAAACATCCTCCCACACCCAACTTCCTTGCACTCCACTCTTCTCGATTCCAACCCCAGCTCGGCTGCAAACCGCTAACTATCCAACGACTCGGGACGTCTTTCTGAAGTGAAAGGCTCTACACAAATGTAATTATGCTGTTGTACCGGAAAGGAGACTGGAGTTTGTAACAGAGGTAACCAGGCAACACTCCCCCATCTCTAGTGAAGAGATCATTTATCAAAACCTCACAGCCCTGAACATCATTGAATCATTGAAAATGAAAATACACAAACATTATACAGAGGGCGCTTATCTAGAACCCAATCTACTTCAAAACGACATGTGGGGTGCACTTGCTTCAGCCACGAGGAACTTGTATTGCCTGTTATTACGCAGATTACTGCTGTGAGAAACGAGTGTCATATAAGCAATTTCCACTTCTCTTTCTCAGTATCACTGGATCCACACCCACAAGCCCTGAACATAACTCAAGTCAGTAAAACGCTCCTCGCTAAGGAATCAATCACATTTTCACCCCAAATATTCTTGAAAGTACATAAGTAGAATGTTTCCTTGTATCCTCCTCTTAATCAATCGTTAAACTGGCAGGCTGTACTTTCCCATGGACTTAGAATGAGAGAGACAGAGAACCCTCCATGTTCACTAAGCAGTCTACATTTCAGAGAGTTTAAATAAGTGACCTTCAAAATGGGGAAATGAACAGATCCAAAACTTCAGTTCTGTTTGTTTGGGGCAATGCCCAATAGCAGTTTTCTCTTTTGGTTACTTCCCCAGGAAAGGACCTTGTCAGTCTTTCCAGCCTCACCCCTATGGATATCAGTTGGAGCAACTCCTGGGGTGAGTGCCAGCCAATCGCAGAATCGGACAGATTTGAATACTTGCACAATTCCTATGGCATTGAAACATCTCAAATTACCGTCAACACAGTGACCGTTTGTAAGGTAACACCCAGCACAACTAATCATTAATCAAGGATTGTTGGCCAATATTTTCCAGTCGCGTCATGGGATCTTAATGTTCACTTAAAAAGGACCTTGGTTTAATATCTTGTCCCAAAGACGGCACCTCCAACTCACTATACCCCCGCTCTCTAGAACTCCATCCCGGAATCCTTCTGACTCCCTCTGTCGGTTCTAGGGACAGCGCAAAACATACCTTTGGTCATCTTTACCCTATCCACCCCCTTGTCGGGTGCCCAACGTGACAGCCGCTATTCAAATATAAATTATATTGTACTACAAGCTTCTTTAGGGATGCAAGCCACTTTATGGGTGGCAATCAATTCTACAACTTATTTATAATTAGAGAATGGTGGTCTGGCTCTAACTATTAAATAATGTTGATAAAATTACATGATACAATTATTCCTCCGCTCATACTCACGCTTCATGTCCCCTGAACTGCCCCATCAGTAATGGTAAGCTTTCAGCCATTCTGTCCCGTTCTTTAGAACTCCATCACAGAGAACTTCCATCTCCTCCCCAAGATTTAGAGCCCAATAATAAAGACCAGTCTTTGACTGAAATTTCAGCTTGGATTTGCAATCAGTTGTGTGAAGTGCTTTGAGACATCCTCCCACTGAGACGCTAATATAAATGTAAATTAGGTTTTCAATGGATATGCAGAATGAAAGCAATTCTTCCTTTGGAAAACTTTGTTGTTAGCTTTTGATCTAAATGAATGTTGTATCCTGAAGGCCATTTCATTATCATCTGTTATCCTAGTTTCACTACTGTTCATGCATCAACAGTAAATTGTTTTCACAGCACCAACCACATCAGTTCAGAGCTATGAATTAAAAGTTATGTATTGGCTTCAGCCACTCTGGAACTCCATCCTAGCCCCCTGCCTCACCCCCCCTGGCTTCCTTCAAGACCCTCCTCTTCAAACATGCCTTCAATCACCCTCCTTTCCCCCCTGCCCTCCACCCTCCCCAACCCCGAACTCTAGTTCGGGTCCAAAACACTGACTTTCCAGGACCTTGAGACGTCCTCCCACTGTGAAAAACGCTATACAAATGAAATTTTGTTGTTGTGGGTGTTATTCAGTGGGGTGTGTACTTACCACAAACTTGTGCATTCCATCTGATCCTTTACCACCTCACATCAAAGCCTTGTGCATGCACATAGATCCTAGAACTGCATCAAAACCTGCCAGATTATCAATCGATACTTTAATGAGTATGCTGCAAAACAGGGGCGTGGGATCATCCACAGGCATGAAGCAGCCTGACTGCAGTCATCCAGGGTGCAAAGATTAACAAATGTAGGTGGATGGTCATCTTGGGATACTTTTAATCAAACAGGAAGCCTAAACATCACACTGAACTTGTGTAGCAGGTATTGAGGCCATATGATAAATTTTCATGTTGGTGAGGGGCTCAGTTCTCCCTGGACCTTAGTCAACTGCCTTCAACAGATCAAATGTGACGTTCCATTATGGCTCGTCCTTCCCCCGCAAAGGACTGGAGGCAGTCTTAATTTTCCTTGCGTCGTCAAACAGATTTAAGTGTTGGTGGTGGAATAAGGGTCGGCTAATTATTCTCGGCCCCACACTCATTTCCACCCACCACTCAGCCCTTTTCTGCTTCTTCTTTATGCATCAGGATTGAGAACTCTTCTGGTGCTTGGATTAGTGATCATACTTTGAGGTGACATGGGACTATAGCCTACTTTTTGGGGTGCTTTTCCACAGTTTAAAATAACTGCAAGTATGAAGTGTACCTTAATCTGCAAGTGATTTGCCCACGGGACTCGATTTTTCATCTACTTAAGCAGCACCTTAAGACGAGGCTTATTAGGAACTTTTTCAGGGCATTGATAGGTTTAAGGATTTACAAATATTCTAATGACAAGCTGAAAGCTGCTGATGCATCTTAAATTAGCATTGGTTGGAACACGCTTTGGATGGCTAATTTGCAATGCCTAGTTTAAATCCGAGCATTCAAGCAGAAACCTGGTAACAGAAAAGCATTACACAATCTTTCAGATCTCAAAATAAGGAATAGAAGTTAAATTGCAAAACACTTTCTAACAAGATACTCCACATGGCAGCACAGATGTCAATCTGGTGGGCTGTCAACATCATTGCCCTCCTTCAGGGTGGGCTAACCAGCAGCCCTCTAACCACAGAAAGCCCAGCGAATGATTTCATGTAGCCCATGGACACAGCTGCACCTGGTGTCCGAAGTCCAAGCTTGGCCTGACCCAGCAGAAAAACAGTAACACAAGGCACGGTAGCAGCAGAACCAGTCGTTCACTTTCAAACCAGTAGGAGGAGACAGACAGACAGACAGACAGACAGACACACACACACACACACAGAGAGCGAGAGAGACAGACAGACACACACACATTGGTTGAGAGAGAAACCTTGTCGCTGGCTGTATTGTTTTAAAGTTTGTATAAATTTTTACATTGCCTATTTAAAGTTTGCATTGTATCTAAAATTTTGTGAAATTAAGTCATACAGTTACAAAAACCTAAAACATAGGATTTCTAAATGTTTCTGGAAGGGAAACAAATATTGCTTATGCATTGTTGCTTATAAAAGGTTGTATCACCCTGTCCTACTTAGTACGGAAATATCTTTAATTGCACTTTACAAAGAGGAATCCATAGAAAAATCTGGCAAACCACTTACAAACTTTATTATGAATGTAAATGACAATGTCACAAAAGACTGACAGAAGTGAGCTGGTTTCACTTAGTTCTCCCACAGAGAGACAAAGTGTGAAAGGGAAGATCAGGATTTCAGTTCCTCTGGGAATTCATTAGACAAAAAAAACACGTCAATGAAAGGTTTTAGTGCATTAATGTGCAAAGATTATAAAACAGGGCATGTGCAAAAGAAAAAAAGCAGTACCTGTTCATTCAGGGCATCAAACACAAAAATAATCTAAAGTTTCAGATTAAATTGAAACTGAACATGATAATGAGTACGTGTACAGGCTGCGTTATTATCTTCCCAACTGATTCCCTAACTTTGCTGCTTTCATTTTCAGCAAGGAGAGCCACGAGAACAGGCCACTTTGCTTCATAGCCATAGCTCAGCTGCTAGGGGTGTTCTAAGTTTGGCATCTCTTCCCAGCTCAGAACAATCCCAATTGCTAGTAATATGTGACTTCTACTGGCAAAGAAACAGGTAAGACAGGTAGATTGTACACGCTCAGTGATTTGTCCTATGCTAAACCCAACTAGAGGTATCTACAAGGAGGCAAGTTTCAATAGGACGTTTCAATGCATCTTGTAGCTGCAAATGAAAGAGTTTTATATGACTGTAATAACTTGTTACTGGTCATTCAGTAGATGACAGAAACCAAATCCAATCTCAAAGTTTTTAATCTTTCCCCTTTCCTGTACATCTCCATTCATCTTGAATGCACTAAGTAAAGTAGTAAGATGGCCAAATGCCACTTAGCTTTATTTAGATAGATCCCTCTCCTCAGTCAATCTTGTAGGAGCTACATTCTACCAAGTAGGAGAATTTTCAGTTAAGCTCATGGGGCAATGCACCAGAAAATATTTAAGGAACCGATATCCTCAAAGGAGACTTTGGTCTTTGAAACTGCTCAAGGAGAAATCTAAAATCAACATGGGCAAATTACCAGGGTATCCCGAGCCTCACCGCCTATCTTACTGCATTAGTATATCCTCACTAACTCATTGAAGATGGAAGGACACAAATAACTGTAACACAAGTAACTCAAATCTTGATACACTCATTTGTAAAATGTAACCCAGACATTACCAAGATCATCAGGATAGGCAGATATTCTCCTTTGATAGACTATGCAGAGCAGTGCTTGTAAACCTAAACCCCAACTGAACATTTGACCATGGTCAGCTAGCTAAAAAGATATTTCAATGACATGGAAACCGGAGTTTAAGAGTTAGTAGCGAATTGTAGCAGAGATCCGCTCAATTGGGGCGATTGGGACTCTCCCAAACTGTAACTACATATCTCTAAAGAACTTAGCTGGGTAAGAGCTTTCATTTAAAAAAATTCTGTGGCATTTCGAAAATATTGGCAGTACCCTATATGTGCTGAGTTTAATTGGGTGCAATGTGGATACAGTTGTCCAGAAGTGCTATTGCTCAGATCCCAAAACTCTTTGGTCTTTATGTGAACTTGTAGAATCAGATAGTCAAAGTAAAATAAAAAACTGGCTTTTGCATATGCTGCTGCTGCAGCCAAGTTAGTGCTGTAACTGAGCAGGGCATTCTGAAGCTATCAGGATAGGCAGATAAACTGCATGTTATTTTACTACTAATGCAATAACTCTCTCCTCTACCTGCCTCTTTCATTCCCCCTCCCTATGCATCCAATTTGCTTTTTGAGGGATTTGTCTGAAGTCTGAAATTCCCACTAATTAAACAGGTCTTCCTGCAGATCAATTATTATTAAGAAAATATGGAAAGTAAAGATTATACATTGGTAATAAGATTCAATTGCAGGAAGAGCAAGAAAGCAGCAGCCAGCCAGAGGCCAGCACTTTCTTAAATGAAACTGCAGATTCGCTTATAGGCTGGCGGTTTGGTATAAAAGGCAGCAGTGTCCACTCATCTTGTTCCATCTATGCAATCGCTTTTGCTTCTGGTAAAAAAGCTTCCCAGTATTTTACAAGCTGCAAAAAAAAAGAAAAACAAAAGAGAAAGTGTTGATTTTGAAGAAGTTATTTGAAAATTCAGAGAGTTTCAATATCTCTGTACCACCACCCTCACTAACTTTCTAGCTCAGAGAACACAGGACTAGCCTCAGTCTCGCCACTCACTAGTGAGTTACTCATCTTGCAATTTACCACTCAGTATTATAGGAAAAGGATCAGAAGGAGGCTGGTCAGCTAATCAAGACTGTTCAGCTATTCTATTAGATAATGGCAGATCTCATTCCATTTCCCCTATTCTTTCTCCATAATTTCCAATATTAATAATAATCCTTCCATTTGATACAGCACCTCATCACATCTTCGTGAAGTCTCAAAGAGCTTCACAGAATATATTGTAAAGTGAATTGACTGCATATTCTGTGGGCAAGGAAACTTGCCCAACATTTCACCCTGCTCGGGAATCGAACCAGGTCTTTCACTTGCAAGATGGATCACACTACTCACCTGCTGCTGAGAGTTCAGTAGAGTCTCCAAATATGCAACAACACGACTCTTAAAGTCCTGGGTTTTCTCTTTCTGCAGATCAAGAGAAACAGCAATATGAAAACTCGCAACTAGAGCCCAGGGTATATACCTTTAGCAGCAGTACCCAATGCTGAACATCCTTGATTTTTTTCAGGGAGTTTATAGTAGCAGTAATTCATTCATTCTAAATTTTATAAATAGGAAATGAGTCAACTTGACATCTTCGTCCCAGGATAAACTAATTCACTAGGTAATGTTTCAACTATTTGCAAGCTTGGGGAGTCAGGGACAATGGTTACCATACATTGCTAAAGAGCAACAGAAACTATACAGGATTGGTTTGGATTTTTGCATCGCACAATAATAAAGATGTATGGTCTAATCATCAATGTTGAACAAAAACTGCTCTCCCTTTGTGTTGTAGTTTTTGGGTGGAAACTGCAACCAGCAATGTGAGCCCAGCGGTTTTCAGGCAATCTCAGCAGAACATTGAGGCTACTAATGCTCTGATGTCAAAGTGGGCACTTACCTCAAACCTGGCTACTTCTCTGCGAATTGTAGCCGAAATCCGCTCAAATTCTCTTTCACATTGTACAACTTTGGACTCCCACTAAAGAAAAAAGTCACCAGTTAGGTAAGGTGATCCCAAGCTGGATAAGCAACAGGAAGCCTGGCAGACAGACATTGCTCTCAATGAACAAGTAGCTCCAACATATTCTGGGGTCCCCAAACCTTGGTTCATGCTAACCTGAACCCAATATTTTACAAAATTAAGAAACCAGGGTGCATCCTTCCAGGGAGAGTCAGCAATTCATTCCAGACCGGGAATTTTTCACCTGAAGGTGCCACACACATGAAGCTACGACTGGATAGGTCAGGCACCAGTAAACCAAAAACGATGCAATGCTTCTGGGAAGCTCTGTCCAAACCTTAATGTGTTAAGCGTTTAATACCAACGTAACAGGTGGTCATTGTTTATGCTGCAGGAACAATGACAGCATACAACTTTCATACCTCTGAAATCTCATCTTTGGCTTGTTGTAGTTTGTCTGGTTTATTGGCCCATATAAGTCTAGCTTCAATCTCTCTCTTTTTTTGCAATGTGGTCTGAGCATCCTGCCAGCGCTGCCACGTTTTCATCCGTTGGTCAAACACGCCCTGGAGGACAACAGCACCTTATTATTGATACGTTTACAATCCAGTTATAAAGCTATCTTTAGGGGGCCTTATAAAGGACATTAATATGTTAAGGGGATTATATAATTGTATCTAGCCTTGTTGAGACTCAGAAGTACTGCACACAATTTTGGTCTCACAATTACAATCACAATTATACAGCACAGAAGGAGGCCATTCGGCCCATTGTGTCCATGTTGGCTCTTTGAAAGAGCTACCCAAATTAATATCATTCCCCCAACAATAAGGAATGTTCTTAAAGGGCGTACAACTAGATAATTCCAGAATTATGGGGACAAAGCCCTAAAAATAGACTGGTCACTCAATAGACTGGTCACTCGGAGGCTTTTTTTAATAAAAGGGGGAAGACGTGAAGCAAGTTTAAAAGTATGAATCTGTTTTAAATTGAGATGAACCGGTTTGTCTACACAGCAGAAACCTCATCCACATTTAACAGAACATCAAAAGTAAATCAGATGCAGAAGAAGTTACTAAGAGAATGCTCGGTATGTTGAACAAATTACCAAACTTCCATAATATTACATAAGTAATATAGGGAAGGTGTAGAATTAGTATTTTTTTAAAAAAAACAATATCATCTGGAATCAAGCATTAAAATGGACCAGAAAGAAACAGTAACATGGAAAAAAATACCAGCAGTACAAGTAAACACATTGGCACATGGAGATCATTTGGTTCAGAGAATAAAGGCTGTAATGCCTGGTGATACCCTCATTGCAGAGAGCAGGCGGATATAGTCACTCAATAGTTCTGCAAACAGGAAGAAGTCATTGTTGGCCTGATCCTGGTACAGTTGTTCGATCTTATCCTCAACCTCCGCGAGCTGAGAGAGGGCACGAGACAAAGCCGTGTGGTCTTCTGAGCTCCCCAGCATTGCTGTGCTCTTGGCAACGATTGCAGTATTCATTGCAAGCTCTGAAACAAATAAAAGCCATAACAACCTGAACCCAGCTCTATTTAGCAATCTATACATACAACATATGAATACATCATATCTCTTGGGATAAGACCAGGTACTAGCTTTAGACTGATTTTGTTATGTCCTACCAACATTGTCCAGGCTTATTTAATAGCCACCTGGTCAAGGTACCAGGACCCATACCTCAGCAAGGTTTAAAAAGCCTTCAGTGGGCAACAAAGGACAAAACAAGCAATACTATAGCCGAGGCTAATTAGGTCGAGGATGTACTAGCACTTTTGATATCCAAGTCAAGGTGGAGTTTTATATCAACTCTAAGCTTTCTCAAATATTTCCACAACAACAACTTGCATTTATTTTGCACCCTTCACGCCAGACAGTGTCTCCATATTCCCTCTCTATTATTCAGAATTTGATATGACCATTGCATTGAGTTTGTGATAATTCCACACATCATCGTCAAACACCAAGTCAACATCCTTCACCACCACCACTCCCAATACCAGCAGAATCAAATGCACTAGCTCCAATTAACTGAGAACCTACTACAGAATGATCTCCATATTGAAAGGCAATTGCAAAGGCAGTATCTTTATCCATCCCCAGATAACCCAATCATCCCTCCCTCCCACCCCAGAGGAGGCTTCTATCCCTTCCATCTATCCCACATTCATCCCTTCAGTGTATCCTCCAGGTAGATGTCATTTCCTTCTAACAATGTCTAAACAACATAACAATTAGTCAATTAGTACAAGGGTATTTGGAAGGCAGCAAGGGTCCTTTTTGCTACAACATAAATCAGAATCCCAGTGAACATAGTTCGGTTTCACTCACATTGTCCCATCGGCACCTGTATAAGTATGAGGAGCCATCAAACCATGACCCTCACCTTTCCTGTGATTGACAAGAGTTTCCACAACAGCATGGAGTTTGCGCAACTGCTGGTCTTCACTCTCAATCTCTTGAAACTTTTCTTCAAACCACTAAAGAAAAAACACAGGCATTACATACTGCAGCAGGGTGGGAGAAAAGGAGAAGGAAAAGTGGGGGGAAAAAAACAATTTTCCTGACAGATTCCCCAGTTTCCAATTTGGGGGCATTGAAACAGCTTGAAATATTCAGAGTCAAACTCATTCCTCATGAGACCAGATGCCTGGTCAGGAACCAGAAATTCAAATGCGCATGTGCAACCCTGAACAATATGATTAGTGCTGAAATAATTAGCAAATCATTTTACCCATTGGCACTGGAATTTTTCCAACAACTGTGAGTGCCGACGATAGCATTAAAAAGACTTGTTCACCTCTGCATTTTATTCATTCGGATTCATCTTACTTTGATGTATATTCTAGTACCATCAAGTATGAAATTTAACAGCATTCATAGCAGCTATGAAACACTCACTATATCAGACTCATTCATCTTGATGGTCATTTTGCTGACAGCATCAGCCGCCTTGTTCACCATCCGAAGGAGACCAGCTCCACTCAGTGCTTGAGTACTCACTGCTCGGGGAAGCTGCAAATAAGATTCAAACATTAGGCAGTCTTACCCTTCACCAAGTACTACTTCTTTCAAACATTTGCATCTGTCAGTCTCTAAAGTGGAGCTTTCAAATTAACACCAACAATAAATCAGAAAATAAATGTCAGGGGCACAATTGAAAGATCATTTGGTCCATCAAATCTGCTATGGTGTGTTCTACACACAAGGCACCCAATCTAATCCTGCACCCCCCCCATACCATTTAATATTCTCTGCAAGCAGCTATTTCAAGAGAATTAATGGACCTGACTGAAAATTTCCATATTCAAGCTGCTGTGTAAAGAATATTATTCTAACGTCCCCTTTAAATCTACTGTTTTCCTTCACATTTCATTCTGCCAGTCACGACCAATAGTCAAACAGTGACGTTATCTTCCAGGACAGTAAAAACAGATGAACCACCAGGATTGTTAATGTCAAATCTCAGGAAGTTTGCCTTGCTAATCAAACTATTGTAACTTTCTGATGAAATATGCATAGTTCAATTCTGCCTGCTGTGGATGTCCATGCATGAAGCAGTTATGCCTGAAGCCCCTCAATAAATTAGCATTGTGCTAGAACGCTGTGACCCTGAATTTGAGCATAACTACACTGGATTCATAACATGAAGTGGCTAAATTAGTGTTTGCCTGAACACAGAATGAATCTGCTAGCTCTGCTGTAACTAGAGACTGAATATCAAAATTCCTTGAATGTCGCTGCTGAAGACCCTTTATAATATAATAATAATTCTTGCATTTGATATAGCACTTTATGTTTTATAGGTTTACCTCATCTTTTTCCAGAAATTCTCGGACATCAGGATCCTGTAAGAGGGTGGGGTGCTTGACAATTCTCTGCAAATACCTGCACAAAAAACAGTTGTTAGTCAGTAGTTGAAAATACACTGGATGCCCAATCCATGGTCAATGCTAAAGAATTGAGACCAACCAAAGCCAAATGAGATCATGCAAATAAACCCCAAACTGTAGTAGAGACCAGCATCCCCATAAAGGTAGGTTCACTTTTAAGGCAGAATGCCTTATGGACCCAGTGTGTTTTGGTGCACAGAATAGCTAGCTTCCTGCACACTAAACAATGGCTGACTAAAATACAGTTGTCAGGTTTCTGATGTCACTTCAAGCAGATGCACAATACATGCAGAAGCACTTGCACATAGACAGCACGTAGGAATAGACATCAGCAGTAACCTGGAAGTTAAGATTTTTTCTAAGTACAGTAAGCATGATGTGCACGTGCACTAACCCCAGTTGTCATGGGATCAGAGACCATTCAGAAGCAGCTACTGGCAGCCGTTCTTGATTATACCCCAATAAGGAAGTGTACTGAAATTTAATGGTTACCAAATATTGCCTTACAACAACAACAAGATTCCATTTATAGAGCGCCTTTCACGTCAGGAGGACGTCCCAAGGCACTGGACAGTTGGGTCAAGACCCGAGCAGGGGGGAAATGATCAGGGTGAGGGGAGGGAAGGGAGGGAGCGAGGAGGAGGTAGAGAGTCGAGAGAGGAGCTGAAGGCACGGTCAAAGAGAAAGGTCTTGAGACCGGCCTTGAAGGAGGAAGGGAGGAAGCAAGGCGAAGGCACTGGGGGATGGAGTTCCAGAGCCTGGGGGCTGAGAGGCTGAAGGCCCGGCCACCGATGGTAGGGCGGTTGGGGCAGGGGATGTGGAGCAGACCGGAACCAGAAGAACGGAGGGTACGGGCAGGTAAGTAGGGGGATAGTAGGTCGGAGAGAGCAAGGCCGTGAATGGCCTTGTACGTGAGGATGAGGATTTTGAATTTGATCCACTGGGGGATTGATCTGGCCTTATATAAGGATTCTACTGCATTTGGCCAGAGGCGGGTTTATGGCCTCATGGCTAGTTTCAGTCCTAAATAGAATTGATCGCTTGTTTAAGATAGTAGGACTGCAAGCACTGGCCATCACGCAGGAATAGTGCTGATTGCACTTGCTTCAAGCCCCGCCTGGGTGGGAATACATATTTAGATCAAACTAACGTGGGAGTACTTTAGGAACTGAAATCTGCCCACCTTGCAGAGTGTTGCTTAAACCACAATGCAGAACAGATAAAAGGATCATTTGCAATTTTACAGTGAAATTAGTGGGGAAATAGGTAGGGCTAACTTAGTTTCTATTACCATAACCACAGCATGTATGTGCAGCAAACATGACACACAATGGACTCTAGAGCTGGGCAGTTTAAAGAGTTTAATATATTCATATTGGCAGAACTAACACTTAAGTTCCAAGAAGAGAGCTTGCAAATGAATGTAAATCTGAGGAAAACTGGAGACTACACAGAGCACTTTGTGGTTGCAAAGAGCACATGCAATCACTAAAGAATTCCTTAATCTGACTCCCACATCTCAATTTAGTGCGAGAGCAACAATACATCTTAAACTCATTAAGATACGCACTTCCATGTCTCCATGAATGTTGGAAACAATTGTTTTTCATAATCATTAATCTGATTTTATGCAGTTAAAAAGCTAGCTGTCGGAATGCTTTCAGATTCATAGCTTCAATAAATTTTAATGCACAAAGGGCTGGGGAACAGAACATATTTCTTCTCTGGATACAGTGTCCATACCAAGCACTCCCAAGTGAGGTGCAGTTTAGGTTAGAACACCAGCTTCACAAGAGCCCAAGTGACAATTAAACTGGTGCAGAACTCAGAGCACTTCTGTTCTGTGGATCACCCTGATTCCGCAAGTTACAGACGAGCCCAACTTAGTTCCATAAGTTTAGGAATTTCTAAATGCACTAATTTGACTGTACCACGTACAGCCTCATCAACCCAGCCCCACACAGCATTATTGCTATCTGGACAGTTCGCTTTGTACAATGTCTTAGTTTCATAGTTTTTTTAAAAAAAAATTGGGACTAGTAGAACATTATTAGACTAGAGTGGATTTGTCTCTGTTGTGACAACATATGGAGAATCCATTTCAGAATTGATGTGAGAAACATCACATCTGGGTGTGAAAAAGTATGTTTACCCATTTACAACTCAGGAGCAACGGAAAATAAATGCCCTTGGTCTATGGAAGTCTCTCTCAGCAATCACCTTTCTAATGCAGCTCGCCTCCGTTCTAAGAACTCTGCAGATGAGGAGTCATCTTTTCCAACCTTCACTTTGGTCATACCTTAAAAGAACCAGACACACAAAAGTTACATCAGCATAACAAGACATTTGCAACCTAACTCAGCTGAGGAATAGAAGTATTTTCATTCTGCATCATGGACTACACATACCCAAGTAACTTGCTGACTAATGAAAAGAACCTGAACACTCAACTGAAAGTTACTGTAGGGATGCTTGCCCTAGAGGCTGTCATCAGAGGCAATTTAATACTGCCTTTCATCACTAAAGGTTGCCACTGGAGGCTATAGCACAACAATATTAGTGGACTAATTTCCTAAAGGACAGCATTTATTGCACATAAATCTATCTTAGATTTAACATTTAGAGAATCAAATAAATTAAGATTTCTCTATTTTGTGTTTGATACTTTGTAGGTTTTGATGGCTCTTCAAAACATACAGGCAAAACAGCAACACAAGTGAAATCCTAGACATAAGTGACAAATCAAAGTACTTCCATGCTTAAAAGCTCTAGACTGGCCCACAATAAATTCCTACAGACTCGAGTAATATAGGCAAAATTGGCAAATGAGGGAATGAGGACAAAAGAAACAATACAATGACACCACAAATACCGATCCATAGCAAACAATTAGTCTTCCTTTATCAAATAATCTTCCTTTTGATCACTCCTTTAATTTTGTTAGGTTATTTGTAAAGTTCCACATAACTCTAACATTTAACAGAACAGAGAATAGAAAAATTAACAGGATTAAAGTTCCTAAATTATAAACCCACCTATTAAGCTCTTCTCGGGAGGTGGAGGGACGATGAAACCATTCTGGGAATGTTTTTCCAACAATCTGTCATACAACCCCAGGAAATCACTGAATCTTCGCTTTACACTGAAGTCCTTCCTCTTGAACATTTGTAAACTAGTCTGGAATAAATCCATTGAGTAACTTAGTCAATGCGCAATAGGACAATGGTTCACAGAAAGTACACTGAAGTGCCATTCATTTTTTGGTAATCTGCCCCTTTTAGTTCTATCTTTAATCTCTAAAAACAATGGCAATTTACACTAGATTATTAACTTATTTCTGGTGGGCAGCAAACATTACACATCAATGTAAACCATTAGCAAATTTCTCTTTAGATCATAAAGGAATTTTAAAAAATTTTGTAACAAAAAAAATCCCAAGATCACAAGGTGGGTTTCAGCCCCTCTGATCTCACCCCAACAGACTCCCCACCTAACATTCTCCATCACAGCCACAAGTTGCTTTTTAAACATGGCCATTCTACTTGTTCCAGTCATTAATTATCCCCTAATCACCACAGATGTGAGTTCAACAGTCACCACTTCCAGGTGTTGGACATGCTAATATGGGTATGGAAGCGCAGTCAAAGTAATTTCCTTCAAGCAACACTGCCTGCAAGCAACACATGCACATGCAGCAAGTGCCAATTCAGAAATCTGCTATTTTTGTTCAAAACAGGGGTCTAAAACAATTTAAACAACTGTAATTCATTCTCCTCAATTGAGAAATTTGTAAAGAATTATATTTTTTTACTGATGAAAATCAGAAGCTGGTAAGTATATAATTATGTACCAAGTAGTCATACCAATAGCTCCACCTAGAGGTTATTTAAGGAGCAGCACACAATCCACATTGGAATATATTTAATGTAGCATCTCGTCGCGTGGAAAGATTCAAAAATACTTGAATCAAAATGACATGAAGCATGTATGTCAGCAAATGTGTTTGCCTTCGCAACCTCATATAAACAAAAATGATTGAAAATTAGATTTCACATCTACTGAACCCAATAGTAAAAGCCCCATAAATAAGAATCCATTATTCAAAGTGATACATTTACCGAAGCAAATTGAAAGAGACCATGTAGTAAGAGTTGATGGTGGTGTGAACAGAAACCAGCCTAATGGCAGCAGCGATGGGTCCACCTGGACATTTTTTTTAAAAATGTACGTGGTGCTATTAGTATAAGATGAACAATGTAATTAAGTGGGGGCTAAACTGAGATTCCAAGGAGCCATGGTTTACAGAGTCGAAGGCTTTTATAACATCCAGTGTGGTGACATGTTAAGGGAAAAAGTTAAGTGGTTGTTATCTTAAGGAGGGTATCAACAATAGGCGACAGCAGGAGGGGGTGGCTAAGGAGAGCAGTGCAAGGGAGTGGTAGTGAAAGACAATTATGGCAGAATTAGAGAGGTGAGAGATGACTGGGAAGATACAGTGCATTCATTTGCTACTTACCAATGTGGACACTCTGTAGGCCATGTAGGCAGTCATCCCATCCCCTGAACAAGTGAAAAAAAGTTAATTCAAGTGCATTTCTATACTGATCTATGAACAATGAAGTAACAACACATATGCAGTTGGAGCAATATCACCACGCATGGTATTTTGGTTTCTGCAGCAGACAGGATAATTTGTGATACAGTAATTCAGTCGTCAGCTGGTCAAAAACAGCTCTCTGCAGACATGGGACAGAACAAAAGCTGCAGTTTAAACTCTGAACAAACAAGCTGGTGAGGTATTGTTAGAACCTCTCTCCAGACAGACCATTAGTGCCCGATGTTAATGGGGTGTCATTGGAATTTGCAATAAATGGTTTACCTCTGAAACAGAACAAAAGCAGTTTAATGTTTCTTCAAGAATAAAACATGGATCCACCTGGGTACATGTCTTAAGAGTTCAAAATCCTCATCCTCGACTTCAAAGTCCTCCATGGCCTTGCCCCTCCCTACCTCTGTAACCTGCTGATCCATATCAGCCTGTCCGCTCCATCTGCTCGGCAGACTCTGGCCTGCTCCGCACCCCACACCCAGCCCGCTCCACCATCGGCGGTCAGACCTTCAGCCTTTCCGTCCCCATCCTATGGAACTCCATCCCAGATTCCCTTTGCCTCGTTCCCTTCCTTACCTCCTTCAAGGTGCGTCTCAAAACCCTCCTCTTCGACCGAGCCTCGGTCACCCTCCTCCTCTCTGCCCGGCACTCTCCCCGTTCCTGACCCCCAGCTCGGGTCCAAACCCGACTGTGCAGCGCCTTTGAACGACCTCCCGTCGTGAAAGACGCATACAAATGTAATTTATATTGTACTGGGTAAGGTGCAGCCTCTGATGGAACAGAGTTCAAGGAAACAATCTTTTGTGCTAGTGGCAAATGATGTTTGTAAAGAAGCTTAGACTCCAAATGCGGTACTCATGGATTTCCTCATTTATCTTTTCTCCAGCCCTGCAAGTTTTCTTCACCACTCGTCTCCCACATGAAACCTACCACATTCTTTTCGCCTACCAGACCAACCAGCTCAACTACCTAAGTACTCTTGAATGCCATGCTATCCAATCACAATAAGACTGAAGTGCAGTAGTCAGCCCTCCTCAAGCTGTCAGTTAACCTCTCTGCCATCTCAATTTGTACTTCACGTGAACATGTGTATGACTAAAGACACAGCCTCAATAATGTCTTTAAATTCACCCCCTTTCCTTCATGTTCAGTGATCTCTACCACCTTTTTTAAGCATTTCCACATTTATTTTACATGAAAGGCAATAATATACAAGTGCAAATTGTTGAATGAATATTCTGGAGTTTATGCTCAATTACTTGAGGTTAAGGGAGAGAGTGCACTAAAGAACAGGGCCTTAAATCCAGGATTTTCCCCCTCTCTCTCTGTTTGTCTAAACTGTTATGAACAGTTTAAGGCAGGACATAGTTAACATTCTGAGCAAATATCGAGGAGGTTCTAATTGTTGAGACAAATCATAACTTGTAACAGATGCTGAGGAATTTACTGAAAGAAAATATTCAAATTACAATCATGTGCTCGCCACCACTTCTCCACTTATGCTCAAATTACCCACTGGCAGATTTTGATATTCAAAACTGCCAACTGACAAAGCAAGTACTTCTTCCAACTGCTCCAGAAACTTGTCTCACCCAGACAACAAGTTTGACCAATGTAAAGTATCCCTGAATAGCTCAGTATTAGAGTATGACAATATGATTGAATTCCCTTCCATGTTGAGATTTCTAAATTCAATTGGGACACAATGACATACTGGAATTCGGGCCAATACGAGTGATAGTCAAAGGCTAAACTATCCACCAGACCAATTATGCTTTTTTGCTAAACCGTTTGACCAATACCAATGGCCAATTTAACTTACCCACTTTTTCTGGTTCAGTAACTGTAACCTTCAGATCAAATTGGTCCTCATTCTCTTCCTCTTCTTCTGCCACCATCATCTCTAACTGCAAAGAAACAATTACAATCATGATCCAATCAGTAATTCAAAGACATTCACCTCCACATGAACCAAAGATTAGATCTCTTCAGACACAGAATGGAAACCCAAGCAATGTGGGAAGGGGAGGGGGAAGAGGAATAAAGTGGGAAAGGAGGGTTTTAAAGAGATCTGTTTCAGAAAGTTATTGAAAGCAGGGAGTTCTAAGAGCAATGATATAATCATTAAAATCTTGGCTGCCAATGGTAGGACAACAAGGCAGGGAAAACTTTGAGCTTGTGCTCCCTAATGTTTAAGTTCTTTTTGAAACAATTATTTATATTTCCTATCAGCTAGCATTCTGGTAACAGTGACATTTTTCCAAATCAGATTTACAAAAAATGTTTTTGGTAACTTCCCGTCAACACTGGAAGTGAGAAATCTGGGAGTGGAGACCAAAAACAGTTCAATGAGAAAGCCAATTAAAGAGCATCAGTAAGCATTGCCTGAAGCTCAATAATTCTACAGGCTGAAACAAAAGCTAACAACAGAGCAGCTTTCCATGACAGTTTAGCTCCACAAGAACCTAAATGCCAGCTACATTACTTTATGCAATATTAAATAGAATGTCCCATGATGGGAATTATAGGACACTCGGGATGGAGTTTCCACATAAATCTGCTGATATCTGCTTTGTGAAACACAACTGCCAGGTGCACTCAAATAATTGGGGGGGGTGGGGGGTAAAAAAAAAAACTTGGCCAAGAGGGGAGCAGAACCATCAAATTTAAAAGACCAAAGCTACAGTCTTCTTCTGTTGGTTTTAAAAGCTGCTCAGTAAGTAATACAACTTCCCATTAGGATCTTCATGATACATAAAAACATTCAATGCAAAGGGAGCTAGAGACCACTTTGAATTGATTAATATCTAAAATTCAGGTTAAAAAATGTTAAGATACTGAGCAAGCGTGTGCATAGATTTGTATATTTAAATAATGCATTACACTACAATGTTCTGTTATATTTGATAGTTCCAAATCATCAATTACAAGGGAAGGGGTGGTGGTGGTGATGCGAGGAAAAAAGTGGGATCAATTAAATAAACATTAACCAGAAACCTTGCATAAACAACATTGCTCAAGGCTTCCTGACTCACAAAGCCCATACTGAAGTAGCTGTTTTAATAGGCCCTAAATCATAGCAATGGATTCAAACAAGTGCTAACCCAACTGTCCAAGCATATCAAACAGAACCATTAGTCAATGCTTGGGCTTTGCACAAACACAAGGACCATTTGTGAGTAGCTGATTGGAACAGGATCTGCACAAACACCTGTTGTATAGTGGCAACTGTTAGTTAGAATTATCAGATGCTCATCACTAGCTCATCAATGTTCAGTGCCAAAATCGTCACTTCACAGTACATCTTATATAATAATAATCCCTGCATTTGATATAGCGCTTATAACATTCTATAATTCAAGATAAATGTTGCCCAGATTGCCATAGGCTTCAGGATTTTCAGCCAAATATTTCAGGTGTGTAACAACAAGGACCTATAACAACAACAAACATCTGTATACCTATCAAATGAGATACTAAACCAAAGTCCCATCTGCCTATTAGACGGGTAGTAAAGATCTCATGACAGTACTTGAAACAATACAGAATACCCCCAGTCTTCTGGGCAACAATCTTTCAAAATGAATTGATCCTTCACTTCCCAGCTGTCTGTGGGACTTTGTGAAATTGGCTACTGTATTTGCCCAGAAAAATGTCACTATACTTGACCACAATTAGAGGATGCATTGGAATAAAAATAAGTTTCAAGGTTTTAGGTGCAGTTAACAAATGCAAGTCTTCACATCCTCTGGATCTTTTAAATTGTTACATTTGTTCAGGATATGAAAAATTACATATGGAGCATCACATTGAGCTCCCCCAGATCAGGCATGTCAAAGACTGTTGCTGTGTGTTCTTAATGCATACTATTATATAAAAGTAAAGCAGTGGGGGTACAACTGTAATTGGTAGGCAGACTTTGCACAATATTTCATAAGTGATTTTACCTCTTTGTAGGTTTTTGCCTGGGGCTGGCTAGCAGTATTGGATGGAACCATTAGCGAAGGGTCAGTGGAGGGCAGTTTGGTCTGACACTTATTATAGTCATTTTGAGAGTTGTCCAACGATAACTCCACTGTGGCTTCTGCAAATAACAGAAATCAATAAACCTCCATGCAGTGACTTTCTGCCAGCACTTCACAACACAACGCATTTTCTTACAATTAATTATAATACATTATTTAATTATACATTATTTAATTAATTATAATAATTAATTATAATACACTCTTCACAAGCTCAAGTAAATATGCATTACAACTTAAATGTCCAATCTTTTTATTGGTGTGGTGAGCAAATTCTAGATTTGTTCAAAGATAAATTTAACCTGAGAATAGCTTTTAGCGTTGAGATCAATGTAAAATTAAGAAAAAGGACAAACATTTTAATACTCCTACATCAATATTAAACAAAAGGTTGATGCAACTTAATCTCTACTATACCCCAAAATTAAAGTAATAAACTTGCTATAACACCCAGGAGCATGATAACAAAGGGTAAGGGTTACGTCAAATTCATACTTAAATTTACACAATTCATTGTACATAAACTCTGTCTTTGTTAAAAAATTTATATAACATTAGATTTAATTGACTGAACATTTTTTCACTCCACCATGCGTACAGCTCTGTTATCCTGGCTGCAGTCTGGATATGTGCTTTTGAGGGGAAAAGTAATGTGATGGATATTTTAACAGTTCACCTGCAAATATATCTTGATCATCATCTTGAGGGTGGATGCCATTTGCCTTAGAGTTACTGCTGAGAGTCTTCATCAGATCCATCTCTGAAGGGCTGGCCTACGAAAGCGAGGAAAATCAGCAGGCACAGAATTAAAAACATTCATCCATAACCTACTTAAATTCAGAGAAGATTGAATAACTTAAAACCCAATGGAAGCCAATTTGTTAATATAGCCACTGCGCGTACCCAGTACAAACACTTCTTGGCAATAGTTCACAATTCAAGCAGAACAAGATACAGGTGTTCCATTGTAAGAAAGGTTTTGCCAATACTTCCATTTACTCAATTGTTCTGCAACACAAGATTAGACGAAGCTGGGGGGGGGGGGGGAGGGAAGAAAACAGGTGGTATTTGATTCTAATCAGATTAAGACACCTGCAGCATCCAAACTGATTTAATTAACTAAATGTCCTATGCATACATTAACAAACTGCAACTGTTTACACACTGTAGGACCACTTTACATTTAACATTGCTTATGTGCATGAAGAAGAGAAATGAGTGAAAATAGACTGTTCAAAGGATAATCAGGGAAGTTTTGAAATTGTTTTTCTAGAATTCTGTCTACAGGTTCTGCACACAATAAGAAATTACATTTGCACAGTGCTTTTCACGTCAGGAGGACGTTCCAAGGTGCTAGACAGTCAGGGATCCGCACCCGAGCTGGTGATTGGAATCAGGAGGGCTGGTGGCCAGGGAGGGTAGGGATAGGAGGCTGAGCGAAGGCATGATCGAAGAGGAGGGTCTTGAAGAAGGAAAGGGAGGCGAAGGAACAGTAGGATAGAGTTCCAGATGGTGGGGACAAAGATAGGGAGGAGCAAGGCCGTGTAGTGCTTTGAAGATGAGGACCAGGATCTTGAATTGTATCGTGAGTTATGGGGAGCCAGTAGAGATGAGCGAGGATGGAGGTGTTAGGGTCGCGGAGCCTGGTGCGGGAGAGGACACGGGCTGCAGAGTTCTGGATGATCTGCAGCGTGTGGAGGGAGCAGATAATCAACCCTTTTGGTTGGACATCCACTGTCTAGCACAATACAATTTTACAAATACAACTTACAAAAGCATTAAGATTGTAACATCTACAAAATGTAGGAAAGAGATTAAATGAAATTTTCAAGGACAGCATTCCAGCTCCTCAATTCCCATACAACCTTCACATACTAGTAAAGTTGGTTGTGAGAATATGTGAATGGCTCCCAAGTTTATCCAAACCACTCAGTACAAAAATGCTCTGTAAGTTGTGTACAGTAGATATATTCAATAAGGATTATAGATATGTTTAGTCACCATTACTCTGAAATGTACAATAACGTAATGTGTCCTTATTGTGGTTTGTAAATACACTCTCATCACAATAACTATTGAGTAGCTTAGCTGACCAGTATCAGCAAGCTTTAGTCTTGAACTTTCAGCCTTAGCAGCACTGAGAATATTAAAAACAAGCCTTTTTTCTAAATGAATCTTTCATCTTGTAGCAGAGCTCTCCCCACCTCCCCTACCTTTACAAAATGGAAGGTAAAAGTGGAGCAAGGACATTGATGTATCAAAGCTTCCTGTAACAACATTAACAAAACCTACTACATTAGTAGCATTAAAGATTCATGCTCAAATAAATTTTGATAAGCTGTGAAAAATTTGAGAAAAGCCACCAAATGCAAGAGTGAAGTGCACTCCTCTAACCAGATGAAGAAATCTGAATAGTTTCAGTTTTAACTTTATATTTACGAGGTAGTTATTCTCAACCATTTTAACAAAGTTCTGAGTTATAGCAGTTGGCAAGTTCAGTGTGAAGGTGGCAGACAGCACATTGTTCAAAAGTAAATTAACTAGTATCTAAAACAATTCACACTTTATTGGAGAGAACGTCTCAAAGTGCTTGCAGAGGCTGATCAGGAGCACCAGGGACCAAGTATTCATTTAGATAATTTGGTTGCACTTTAGCCTTTATGTTAGAGGCATTTTATGACAGCAACCTCACGTTTGGACTTTTACATTGAGTCTACTTACACCTACCTACCAGTGTAGTCCCAGGGAGGAGGGTAAGAGAAAGCACTGCATTCAGAGGTGACGTTATTTGAATCAGTTAAACAGAAATCCCATGTGCCTGTTCAGGTGGACAATTAAAGATTCGATAAGCTCTTTTCAAAGAGTTTCTCCTAGTCTCCTAGCCGATAATGCTTGCATTTATAGCATTTTCACATATTCACCATTATTGAACACTGAGCCTTTGTTGTGCCTTTGAAATACAATAATATTTTGAAAATATGAAAAATATTTTTTATTGAGAGGAAATTCCTTCATCCATTATTGCTCACATGAAACTGAAAGAATACCAGTTTTGAGAGTCTGAAGGTCACTTTAAATCCTGGAATGTTAGAGCGCAGAGCTCGGTATTTTATAATTTTGCTGACAACAATTGTATGCTCTGAGTGTGATGCCACAACAACAACTTGGACGCCAGACGGCGTCTCAGAACGCTTTACAGTTTAGGATCCGGGGAACGAGCCAGGGGGAGGGGTGGGAAGGTGACCAAAGGCGCGGTTGAAAAGGAAGGTCTTAATACACAAAGCTGTTCTGCTTTTGTACTTTAGGGAAGGTGATTCCCTCCACTGCTTAACCCCATCCTCCTTCAGCAACCTTCTTAGGAGTCCTGTAGCTCAGTGGTTAGAGCATTCGCCTTGCAAGCGAGAGACATAGGTTCGATTCCAGGCAGGGCAAAACCTTGGGCAAGTTTCCTTACTCCACACACCTGATAATAATCCCTCAAGAAAAAAATAATAATAAAATTAGTCACTTCAATCCACAACTATTTGTGGGACACTGCTGTGCACAATTGGCTGCGGCGTTTCGCCCACAAATATAAAGTCAATTCACTTACAGTGTGTTCTGTGAAGCTATCTGAGACGTTTGGAAGACATGAAGAGCGCTATATCAAATGCAAGGATTAGTATTCATGTTATATTGTTTTCACATCAGAAGGGCAGCTGAAAGCACAAATGACTCTGGAGATCAAAATTAGGGGAATGAGTAGAGAAGCTGAGGAGGGGAGGAGAGAAGTGGCCACAAGCAGTTAAAGGGATCAGTTACTAGGTAGTTTTGAAGGCAGAGAGGGAGGAGGCAAAGCAGAGGGACTCCAGGATGGATAAAAAGTGCAATTTGATCTGTTTGCTTACAGTCACTACACTCGACAGCAATTACTTGTCAAGAGCTTTGACACATTAACATCATAGTCACCCGATCAAATGCAAGGATTATCACAAGTAAATCCCATGGGGCGATTTGAAGCATAACAGATTACACACCGCTGTGTGTTAAAAAAAACAGGAACAGGGTGGGGATTAGAGGGAAGTGTCTTCTCATTGCTATGTGCAATTGGGCTGCCATATTTGCTTACAAACACACAGGTACTTCATTTAACAACAAATCCTGGGAAGCACTTTGACATATCCTCCTGACATAAGGCTCTGTACCAAATGCAAGGATCGTCATCATCAGCAGCTGCATTATTATTATTATTATTATTATTACAACTCACTCACAAAAACTGTGGACCTTCAGCATTTCGGGAATCCGAACTCACCCGAAACTGTCAATTCACCTGAAACCACGAGCTCAGCGAAAACGGTCTGTGTGACTGATCCCTAAATGACTCTCCCTTTGCAGCGCGTCCATTAAAGCTTCGGTCAGTCAGAGAGACAAGAAGCCGTACAGTCCTTCTCTCTCGAGCTCAGCTTCTGCCCCTTCCAAACAAACAGTCGTGAGACACCCGAGGGAGACGATGTGCTTCTCCCCCCCCGTGGAGGCGCCTCTCGGGGTTTAAGTCTCGGCGCGACGCTGTGGGAAAACTCACGCGAGTTCTCTCCCGGCGCCCTGACCAGCACTTGAACCTCAGTCAGCAGGTCAGCGGCAGCCTCGCGTCCCGCCGAACAAGCCCAAGAGCTGGCGGGGCGATGGAAGCTCTCAGCCCGGGGCCGGGCCTAGTCAGCAGGGCCCCCCTCCACCACCACCACCACCGCCGCCTTCCCCCTCACCCACCCCGCGAGGAGCTGTGAGCGCACGGCACGCGGGGGGGGGGGGGGGAGCGTGCGGCAGCGGAAAACAAACGACTTACGGCACCGGTGAAGATGTCCTCGCCCTCAGTGCTCTCCTCCTCGGTCTCCAAGAGCGGGGGAGGCGTACACTCCTCCGCCATTTTGTACCTGACAACCGCAACGATGCTTTGTCGCGCCGACGAGCTCTCGCCCCGCCCCCAGGCCCCGCCCACCTCACACACACACACACACACACAGCAGCGGGACTGGACGGTCCGCGCGCGCGCGCGCGCACTCGGGCAGCAACTGCCGTCCGACGTCACGCACGACCGTTAGTCGGGTCTCGAGCGCGCCGGCGGTCACGTGACCCGCCCGAAAGCGCTTCGCGGGAGTCCCGCCGCTTGGGGGCGGTGTAGTGACTGTGCGTTTTTGCAGGCGAGCCCCCTGGGCAGCCTGGTCTGCCCGCAGCGGCGCCCGGCGAGCGGCCACCGCGCGAGTGACCGGTCTGGTCTGTCCGGAGGGTCGCTGGCCGCCGCGCCGGGAGGGACGCCCTTCCCTTCACCGATAGTGTCACGGGATCCGGAACGTCCACCTCCTCCCCTGACGGTGGTTGAACCCTCGCCGCTGGGACACGGTGTCATGGGCCCCGCCGGGGTCAGGCCTTCGAGCTCACGGTCCTGGCTGACGCCGCCAGCGCTCGGGGCAGTACTGCGCGGTTGGAGGTGCTATCCTCCGGACGAGACGTTAAACGGAGCGTGGCCATTATTCTGCGTATACGGCTTACTTTGTCTCATCTTCTCTCCTACACTTTGTCAGCGCCGGTCGTGGCCTACGCGACGGGCCTCGGTTCTTTACGTGTTTTGGGGGGGTCAGCCGGGCATCTTGACCCACGCGGAAACCAATCACCGAGTATCCAAACTAAACTGCGAGCGCCACGTATTCCACCTGTACGCGCAAATTCCCGAGATAATCCTTGTAGTTGATACGGCGCCTATAACGTTGAAATGCTTTTCCAGTGGCCGTTGTATTGAAAGTCTTCCAAAGTTAAATCATCTTTCAATACCGCGGGCACAGGCAGCATCTCCCTCCATGGATGCACTCTACACCTCCTGTAGCTCAGTGGTTAGAGCACTCACTTTGCAAGTGAGAGACCTGGGTTCGATTCCCGACAGGGTGAAACCTTGGGCAAGTTTCCTTACTCCACACGCCTGATGATAATCCCTCAAAAGAAACAATAATAAATTGGTCATTTCAATCCAGGATTGTTTGTAGGACACTGCTTTGCGCAATTGGCTGCCGCATTTCGCCCACAAATATACAGTCTATTCTGTGAAGGGCTTTGAGACGTCTAGAAGACATGAAATCGCTATATAAAATGCAAGGATTATTATCTCACGGAGCCAATACGGAACCTCGGCGTCCTGTTCAACCCTCAACTGTTCTTCATACCCCACATCCATGCCATGTCCCGCTCTGCCTTCCCCCACCTCCCCAACATTGTTCGGCTCCACCACCGTCTCACACCGCTGGCTGTTGAGACCCTCATACACACATGCATAACATCCAGGCTTGACTACACATACTCCCTGCTTGTCATCCTCCCCAACTCCTCCCTCCATAGACTGCAGATCATCCAGAACTCTGCAGCTCGTGTCCTCTCCCGCAACAGGCTCCATAACCCGATCACTCCCACCCTCGCCCGATTCCATTGGCTTCCCATCATACAGAGGATATAGGTCAAATTCCTGGTCCTCACTTTCGAAGCCCTCCATGGCCTTGATCCCCCCTTACCTCTGCAACCTCCTAACCTCCCTACGCTCAGTGGGCTCTGGCCTGCTTCACTTCCCTCAGCTGGCCCGCCCCATTATTGGCAGGATGGCCTTCAGCCACCTTGTCCCCACCCTCAGGAATTACATCCTGCAGTGCCTCCGCCTGACTCCCTCCCTTGCCTCCTTCAAGACCTGTCTCAAGACCCTCCTCATCGACCGTGCCTTCAGTCTCCCTCCTTCCCCCCTGCCCTCCATCCTCCCCGATCCCAACCCCCAGCCCGGGTCCGAAACATTGATTGTCCAGGGCCTTGGGATGTCCTCCTGACATGAAAGCGGCTATACAAATGTAATTTTGTTGTTGTTCATCTGGTCTCAGACTGATATCCTCAATAAAAAAAATTCAGTGAATATGAAATAGCAGATTATTGAGAATCAAATGGGTAAAACAATACAGAAATGAATGTGACCTGTCCTCCTCATAAAGGGTAGATCTATTGGTGAAAGCCTGGCTTGGTTGGTAGCTTTCTCGCCTCTGAGTTAGAATGCTCTGAGCATATCACCCCCATCCTCAATAAATGAGAATTGATTCTCACTAATGTAGATCATCCTCATCAGGCTCCACTCCGTCCATATCCTCCAGCAGATTGGCTTTAAGAGCCTCGCTGTAATTTTCAAATGCCTCCATGTCCTTGCCTATCCTATTTCTGTGATCTCCTGTAGTCTCTCCTGCTTCCCTGCATTCCATCTATTACACCAAAGGTATCACTTTGGATCAGTTGGTAGCACAGTCACATCACATCATTGAGATATCTCAAAGTGCTTCACAGGATATACTGTAAAATGGATTGACCTTATTTTGTGAACAAACGCGGCATCCAATTTGCCCACAGCAATGTCCCACAGACACAAAATAATATATAATTATTTGATAATAGTACTGATACTCCCTCCGTACATTTGATAGAGGGCCTATAATATCAAGAACATCTGAAAGCACTCAGTAAAGTGACAGTTTGTTTGTAGGTAAATATTATTCAATGTGTATAGCCCAAGTACTAATTATTTTTCAACACTAAGCTTTTACTCATCCTTCAATATGCAACACTGAAGTAGCTTGTAATTTCAGCTATCTATCCCTCTCACAGTCTGAAAATCAGCTCATGGCCTGAAAATCAGCTCTCCTGCAATCGGTTGCATTAATTGTATTAGCATTTGTTCTAGCTTCTGTCACACGGTATAAATAATAAAATAAAAATAATAAAATAAAATGATGAATGCAGGTTCTGATCTGCTGCAGCCTTCAAATATTCCAGCATCTCAGCCTACGTTTTAAGTCTCATGTTTGATGTGCTTGACACTGGTCAACTAATCTCGCCCTTTGTTTGTGCATTTTATTTCTGAACACAAAATTAGACCCTTCCTTCTCCACAATGCTCTCTTGCACAGCTCAAGCCATGGAAACTGAACACAACTTTCAATATTCTTGAACTTTAGCTGTCTCCTCTGCTTCCCCAACGTGTTCTCCCCAGCTTTATTATCCCCTCTTCTTCCCTCTTCACTTGCGTTATTTATTCCTAAACTCCAACCTAATAGCATTTCGCAATGTATTCAAATAGATCAACTTCCTGTCGATGTGACCATCCCAATTTCCCTGCCCTCTCACAGATGCTAATTGATCCATGGATTTCCAATATTGTGTTTATAATTTAGAGTATGAATAGATAATAAAACAGGTTGTGGTTGTAAAATGTTATGCTAAATGTGTAGGTCATTTTATGCCCAAATCTGAGATGTCCTGCAGCTCAGTGGTGAGCGCACTCGCTTTGCAAGCGAGAGACTTGAGTTCAATTCCAGGCAGAGGGCGAAACCTTGGGCAAGTTTCCTTACTCCACACAGAGCCTAATAATAATCCCTCCAAAACCAAAAAACAATAATAAATTGGTCATATTCAATCCACGACTGTTTTGTGGGACACTGCTGTGCGCAATTGGGCTGCCGCGTTCGCCCACAAACATACAGTCAATTCACTTGACAGTGTGTTCTGTGAAGCGCTTTGGGACGTCCTCCCCGACGTGAAAAGCGCTATATCAAATGCAAGGATTATTATGATGATGATGATGATGTCTAACTGAATGCACAGAGATGTTCTGTTCGCAGGTTGACCAGGACGACTGCCATCGCCCGAATGTGGGCGAGCGATCCCTGGGTCCAGACGTCGGGAACAACTCTCTGGTGGTTCGGCTGTTTACCGGGGGGGGGGGGGGGGGGGGTCGGGGGGCGACGCCGAAACCGATGCCATGGAAATCGTTGCAAACCCCGTGGGAATGTCGGGGGCCGTGGGTCCGGGCCGTGTGGAGCGGAGTGCCAGCCTGGGGTGCAGGACCTAGAGGGCAGTCGAGAACTTCGTTTGGAAAGCAGAAAAGTTTTTTTCTCTCTCTCTCTCTCTCTCTCTCTCTCGGTGGCGCCTCTCAAACTCGGAGCTCTCATCATCATCACAACAAAGAAGACTGTGGGAAGAGAGAGAGAGAGGGGGGGAGAGAGAGAGAGGGGGAGAGAGTGGGGTTGGAGGTGACTGTTTGCGGCCATCGCTTCTCAGCAACAGTTCGGGCAGAGACTCTGGTGGAGGGCGGAGGAATGCTCGGGGAGGTCTCCCCGCACTGATCCGCCGCCTCACCCCCCCCCCCCCCCCCCCCCCCCCCTCCCCAGCACTTTATCCGGGGCCAGGACTCGGGGAAATGGAGACGGCGGCCAGAGCCGGACTGTAACCGGACAGAGAGAGAGAGAGAGAGGGAGAGAGGGAGAGAGAGAGAGCTCCCGCACCTTACAAACCCAGTAAAGGTCCCAACCTGCGGGGAGGAGGAGAAGGAGAAGAAGGAGAAGGAGAAGGAGTGGTGGTGGTGGTGGGGAAATCCCCCCCCCCAAAAAAAAAAAAGTTGTCCCTGATCCCGGCGCACACACCATGGCTTCCATTAAGGCCAAAGCCCTGTACAGCTTCCAGAGCGAGAACCCCGAGGAGATCAGTATCCTGGAGCACGAGCAGCTGCTGGTGTTCAACGAGACGTCGCTGGACGGGTGGCTGGAGGGGCAGAACAGCCGCGGGCACCGGGGGCTCTTCCCGGCCTCTTACGTGGAGATCCTCAAGACCAGCGCCTCCTCCTCTTTGTCCTCCTACACCGACTGCAGCCCGGCCGGGTCCCCGGGGAGCCCCGGCGCCTTCTTCGCCCCGGGCCCCGACCACCAGAGCAGCTACGACGACGACGACTACGACGACGACTGGGACGACTGGGACGACAGCTCGACCGTGGTGGACGAGCCCCCGGCGACGGGCGGCACCAACGGGCACAACCACCGCGTCCACCAGTACCCGCCCCCCACCGGCCCCCCATCGCCTCACTCCGGGGTCAGCCACCGGCACAGGCCGTCGGTGGAGCGCCAGGACAGCGCCGCCGGCAGCAGACTGACCGCCAAGGGCAGCGTCGTGGGGAAGAACTTCAACCGCTTCTCGAGTTTCGTCCGGTCCGGGGGAGAGGCTTTCATCCTCGGGGAGGTGCCCACGGTGTTCAAGAGCACCGAGACGTACGGGGTTCAGATGGGTCCCAACGGGCCCCAGTGGTCCAACAGCCCCCACCCGTTCACCTGCACCATCGAGGACCCCACCAGACAGACCAAGTTCAAGGGCATCAAGAGCTACATCTCCTACAAGCTGACCCCCAGCCACACCGACCGGACCGTGTTCCGCCGCTACAAGCACTTCGACTGGTTGCACAACCGGCTGCTGCACAAGTTCTCGGTCATCTCGGTGCCCCACCTGCCGGAGAAGCAGGCCACCGGCCGGTTCGAAGACGACTTCATCGAGAAGCGGAAGAGACGGTTGATCCTGTGGATGGACCACATGACGAGCCACCCGGTGCTTTCTCAGTACGAAGGCTTTCAGCATTTCCTGACCTGCACGGACGAGAGGGCTTGGAAACAGGGCAAACGGCGGACCGAGAAGGACGAGCTGGTCAGCGCCAACTTCTTTCTGACCATTCGGATCCCGCAGGAGCACCAGGATCTCCAGGACGTGGAGGACAGGGTGGACCTGTTCAAAGCCTTCTCCAAGAGGTTGGACGACAGCGTCCTACAGTTGAGCAACGTCGCCGCCGATCTCTGCAGGAAACACCTCGGAGGCTTCCGAAAGGAATTTCAGAAATTGGGAATCGCGTTCAATTCGATCAGTCAGGCGTTCGAGATGGATCAACCGCACCTGTCGGTGCCCCTGAACAAGGCCATTTCAAACACGGGGAGGACGTACGAAGCCATCGGGGAGATGTTTGCAGACCAGCCCAAGAATGACCTGTTCCGGATGCTGGATACCCTCTCCCTTTACCAAGGACTGCTGTCCAATTACCCGGACATCATTCACGTTCAGAAAGGTACGTTCCTGCAACAGTTACAGCAAATGTTTTGCTTTGATCATTGAAGGGAGGGAGGGAGGGAGGGGAGGGGAGGGGGGGGGGTTCAGGTTTAAGCTGTTGCATTTACATTTGCCCAAATGAAATGGACCAACTGTGGGTCAAGCGTTGTAACCACGAGAGAGAGAGAGAGAGAGAGAGCACCTCATCAAAGGCATAGCTGATCCATTCTGTCGGCTTCAAACTTTTAAGCAGAAAAGAAAAAAAACGATTGTATTGTCCAAACCTCAATTCCCTTTCCTGTCAATGGATCAATGCGCATCATGTGCACACTTCACACATACTGGTTTGGGGACACAGCCAAAATACAGCACGTGCACCAGTAACCCGTGTTGAGCCTGTTCTTAAAAAAAACAGGGAAACTGTTTTAATCAACTGGAACACTAAAAAGGACGATTACTCTATGGCCTGATCAGTGTATCACACCGTGGAGGAAAGGGGCAGTTGCTCTTTACATTAAATGGGAGGTGTACAGGTCAAAAGTGGGGAGATGTTTGGGCTGAAAGGTGCATTATATGGGGGAATCCTGTACAAAACTATTGGTACATTATAGAGGGCCGCTTTACGCACTGAAAGGTACATTACACAAGGGGCAAGAGTTATAGAACAAGAGTTACACGAGGAAACAGTATCGGCTGAAGCATTGAGTCTTGGTGCTGAGCAGTGCTCCACTCACTGTTCCCATGTTCCTCCCAGTAGATCCCAGAGTTGGAATGACTTTTCAAAACAACCTGGTTTGGATTTCCAATAATAATGGAACATGTTGAAAAGGGGTAATTTTATTACAAGCAGATCAGAAGGCTATGAGTTATGAAAACCCATTATCATCAATGCCGTAAACGTGGAGAAAAAACAGAAATAAAGGAAATTCATAGACTAATAAAACCCAGTCTGTAACCATTAGATTGAAATGAATAGGATAGGTGCAGACTGGGTTTTATTAATTTATGAATACAAATAGTTAGCAGATTATTCTCTAGGGAAACGATTTGACTGTGTTTCTTTTGCAGAAGCCCCAAGGATATATTACACAGTTTGTTTGTATAGGGTTCATTCAGAATGGAGGAGTGACTAAAATGAGTGCTCACGAAACTGCTTTTCAGACCTGTATGAAGAGAGCAGTGAAAAGCTGTCATTCTTAAAACTTCTGGGTAAACCTGTTGGTTGGCTGGATTGTAAAATTTCTGACATCAAAATTCTGACATTATTTCCGTATCAACAACAACAACAACAAGATTCCATTTATAGAGCGCCTTTCACGTCGGGAGGACGCCCCAAGGCGCTGAAAGTTGTTGTATCAGTTGTTGAAGGTTATTTTGTAAAGAGAAGCCTTTGTTATTCTGGCATGGAGAGGGAAGTCCTCAATACCCTGTGAAATTAAGGATGGGGATCCCTGAAGGTAAAATGGTCTATTGCAGCATCCAGTTTCTTAGAATAATGGTAGGAATGTGTTTGCAAGTACAAGCTCTGCTGTGAAAACAGCTCCACAAGGGCTCACAAGACCAGCGTTGACCAGTGCTCCCACTGAGAGTAACAATGATCACAACAGCGCTTCTGCTGTCAAAATAAGAAATGTTTTTGTAAGTGCATAAAATACTGACAGGTGTCAGCTCGGCTCAGTTGGTAGCACTGTCACCTTTGAGTCAGTAGGTACCGGATTCAAGACACATACCACCTACATATCAAAGCGGCAAAAAATTAAAATGAACTGAGAGATGAAGTGATAAGGGAAAAAAATGCAGTTTTACTTTGTTTGCTGTTCCTCCTCCTCTGATTTTATCCACATAAATGTAACCGTGATGCAATAACTGGGGAAACAACATTGTTATATTGCTGAAAGCATGATGGATCCTGCATTACTCTGCTAAGTCATGTGATGTGATCGAGAATCATCATGCTGCCAATGGTTTAACAGATGCAATGCACATGAGGAATTCTGATTTTTCGTAACTTATGAGGGCAAAGATCAAGCAATTTACTCCCATGATATGAAGCCACGTTGACACTCAGAAATGTAAAAACTAAATTTTTCTGCACAGAAAGGGCTTTCAATCCTTTGCGTCTGCTATGAAGCTATCCATAGTGTCTACAACTTCACGTCCAGTAACAGAGAAGTGTTACTGCTCTAAAACAATCATTATGTATGATTATAATAATCCTTGCATTTGATATAGTGCTTTTCACAACTTCTAGACATCTCAAAGCGCTTCACAGGATATGCTGTAAAGTGAATTGACTGTATATTTGTGGGCGAAACGCAGCAGCCAATTGTGCACAGCAGTGTCCCACAAACAGTCGTGGATTGAAAATCCACAAAACAAGGTCAGCTAAGGAAAGGACAGTCCTTTACTGAGAATCTATGGCCTTCCTGTATACACTGTGTTTCTAGGAATAATGCTCTTGCATGTTTGTATCAAGAGACATTTCTCTGAGCGTCAAGTGAATCAAGAGCAGAAGTTCCTATCAGGAGTTAGTTCTGAGTGCCTGAGATGCTAACCTGCATGGGGGGCACGATGTAAATGCAAGTCGTTGTAGTTGTGAGCACAGTTGGTTCCCACTTCAACATACTTTTTACAACCAACATTCTCCCCTCCAGTATGGGCCAGTTGATACCTGAGGAGGGTTACTCATAGGGTCAGTTCACTCACAGCTTCTAGCCCCTTCCAGTCCCTTGGGATTTCAATCAAGCATTAGCGCTCTAAATAAAATAGCTCGCATTTAACAGAGCGTTATCACTTTAAAACATCTCACAGCACTGCACAGGTAATAACTGTCAAGGGTCAAGATTGTTTCCCATGACAAATATAGGTATCATTTTGTGATAACCATTTGGTCCACAAACAGCACAAATTAACACTCTTTCTGGAGGATTGTTAACAAGGACATCATTCTCTTTTCCAATATTGTCATGGGTTCTTGTTAACGTCACCCGATCAGATCACAAAGCAGCTTCTTTGAAATTGCACCCACCCAGCCTCAGGTCAATATTTGTTCAGTGCGGCTGATGGAATAACCTATTGTAGCTATTCTCAATTATTTGCATTCAGTCCTCACATGACTGCTGTAACCACCCCAAGGAATGAACATTGGAGTAATGATCATGGAGTATGTCTGCTCTCATCTTAACTAGTACGGATAAAGGCATGGTTCAGAGTTTTCTTTTTGAGCAATTAATCTTTTTTTTGGCCTGGTCAATTACCACCTTCTATCTACTTTTCCTTCACAAGGGTCAGTGCTCTTCGCTACACTGCCGCAAACAATTATATTTGCTCCCAGTAATATCATTGCAATGACAAGAGAGATTCAGATGAAGAAGGTCCTTTGGCACATTTGATTTCATCCTTCTAGAATACAAACCCTACCGTCCTCGTGTTATAGTGTCAAGCTATTTCGTAAAAGAGTCCAGTATTCCAGCATCAATGATCCTTCTTGATAGCCTTTCCAACTATTAATTACTCTCTAGGTAAATAATAATAATAATAATCCGTGCCTTTGATATAGCACCTTATCACATCGTCGAGATGTCTCAAAACGCTTCTTCACAGGATATACTCTACTGTAAAGTGGATTGACTGTATTTTATGAGCGAAACTCGGCAGTCAGTTTGCACACAATAATATCCCACAAACAGCCATAGAGTGAGTGACCAATTATATTTGGGGGGTTGTTGGCCACGTGAAACTCCCTTTTCTTTTTGAATAGTGCCATGGGATCTTTAATGTCCACCTGAACAGGCAGACAGGACCTCGGTTTAATGTCTCATCCAAAGGAAAAACTTCCTGGTGTCTATCCTGAAATTACCCTTTGCAACCCTGAATCTGTGCCCCCTTTTGTTGCCTTCATGCATCGGAAAGTATTTTTCTAAGTTTACTTTCTCAATTCCAATTAAAATCTTATATAACTCTATAAGATTTCCTCTGAAACATTTATTTTCAAGACTTGAAGAGCCCTAGCGGGTTTAATTATTCCTCATAGCTCATTCCTCTAGTACTGGGGATCACCTTTGTTGCTCTCCTCTGCACTGCCTTCATGGATCTGTATTGCCTCCTGGCCAGAGTACCGTGAAGCTCAAGCATAACTTCTGGGAATCTGAACTCAACCATTTTGGCTGAGAACTCAATTGATTTGGCAAGTGGTGACATTTGGTACCCCCAATTGTGTCCATCAGATCAGTAAAGTATGGACATAAGGTTTACAGAGAATAATGGGACAGGTACAAATCAGAACCAGTGTGGACATCAATCAGGATAGGATTGGATCTTGTCCCCGTTCAGCAGCAGCAGTCATGTCATTTAGATGTGAGTAACACAATTAGTGTTTACAGTATTAACCAGCATAACTGGTTAGGAAGATTGCACTTTCAAACCGAAGTTTCAAAATCAAGTTCTGCCAGGTTCCCGTACCAGGGAGAGTGGATGTGCGGATCTCCCATCTCCTCTTGTCTGGCATCCTCCCGGAAGGGAGGATATTGAAACATACAGATAACTTAATCAACAAACAACTTATGCTCCACTTTAGGGAGGGTAGGGTGGCATTGCTTTGCCCTTACATGCCAAGCTAGATTGTGGTACCAATGAGTCTATTGCTGGAAAGTTTGAGAATAGCGCACCTTGAACCAACCTCTGTTTCCCCTTCCAACAAAGAATCAGCACCTTGCTGCACAGTACCTGTATGATAAGTAGTTACTTGAGTGGAGGAACACGTGTGACACTGATGTCCAGCTGCTGTGTGTTGTAAGCTGTGCAATGGTTTGACGACACACATCACATCCGCAGTAATCCACATGTTCTTGCACTTCACCGAAACAGGCAATCCGTTTCAATGTGTTTTTTCCCCGAAAATATTGGTAACTTTTTTGTGTACCAATGCCTCACAGTTTGCACCAAGATAAAGTTTGCAACAATCTTAACAGTTTGCCAGAGTCTATGTGTGTGAGTGAGAGATCATGGAAATTTTATGGGGCATTAAAGTTGGTTGAAAGTCTCTGCAATATTTACAATTCTGGCCACAATGGTTTGTGAGACATTTGCAGGTTTCACCACATGGCTATTGTACTCTTCCTTGTACTTTTTTTCATGCTGTGTCAAAGTTTCCATGAGGGCTAGACACAAGAGTTAGGCGCTTTAAAATGTCTCAAACTCTTCAAAAGATTTACTGTAAAATGTAATGACTCGGTATATGTGGAGGAATGCAGCAGCCAATTTGTACATGGCAGTATCTCACAAACAACCATGGAGTGAATGACCAATGCTTTCTGAGCAAATGGTGGTCAGGACTCTGGGAGAAATTCCCTCCTCTTTTCGAATAGTACCTTGAGATCTTTAAAGTCTACTGAACAGGCAGACGAGACCTCAGTTTTCACGTCTCATCCGAAGGACAGTACCTCCGACAATGTAGGACTCCCCCAGCACTGCATAGATTATCAGTGTAGACTGATCTGAAAGTCTCAACATGAGGTTTGAACCTATAATACTTCCGACTCAGATGCTACCAATTGAACCAGGCTGACACTTTTGGACCCAAGCTGACATCTGAATTTGTAGATTAGCAGAGAGTGAGCAAGAATGTATGTAGAGAAGGTATAAAGAAATAATGAGTCAGGATGCAGGGATAATCCTAAAAAGGTAACAGGATAAATCTAATTAGTTGTACATATTTACTCTCCAGCAACCTTGAATTTTGGGTGCAGGGAGGTGGATGAAGTTTGTCTTAAATGATAATTCTATGATAAGAAAAAACCTTGTATTTAATATAGAGCCTTATCACATCAAAACATTGCAGAATACAAGGTTGGTGAGAGAAGGTTTTAGTCCATCCCTCAGTGCAGGTTGGTGAAAGGATAGAGAAGAAGAATTTTAGTGCTGTTTCTCAAATAATAAAATTACAGTCAAACTAAGTCTGGGAACCTATCCCTCCCCTCAATGCCAACCTTGCGTTGTGTTTGGAGATTGAGCCTGAAATTCGAGTAGCTGAGGCTGCATCTGAATACTTATCGAGTTACTATCTCCTTTATTCAAATCCTTGGTTGGGTTGTAGTTGATGTCTTTTACTGCTTGTATGCGATGGATGGAAATGTAACAACAACAACTTGCATTTATATGGCGCCCTTCACGCTGGGTAACGTCCTGGAGCGCTTTGTAGCAAAAAGAGGAAAGAATTTACGGGAAAGAGCATGGAATTTATGGGGAAAGAGTGAGCAATTGACTAGGAAAGAGTCGGGGATTGATTTGAGTACATAGCCCCAGTGAGGAGTTGAATTAAGCCCAGCATAGGCTGTGTACTGTAATTTTTTATTATTTATGGTATGACTTGCAAGGAACAGTGCAATCACATGATGGACTGTAGAGTATCCAAACATCTAACTACAAACTGCCCCTAAGCAGCAGTTTTAAGTGTTAAAATTACCAATAACAGTACAGGGTTTATAATGCTGTATTTAGGATTCTTGACAAACATAGTGGCATTCATATTCCCATGCATGAAACATACCGCACATTGCTATGAAAAGACCCGAGCTGTAGAGGGTTAAAGCTGTGTCTTATATTTTAATCAGGGCCTTTAAAATGAGCAAGGTCTGTATGTATTTCATAACGACTCCAGACTAAATTTCCGCTGAGTATTAATGAGTCACTTTACCCATCTTGCGCGTTGTGCAACTGGTTGGAAAACATAATAATACCAGTGGGAATTTCCTTTGACTTTCAGTTGTACATTTCCAGAGGCATAATCTGGCTATGCAACGTTGCGGGCAGGATGTACTCAGCCTAAGCCCAACTACCCATCTATTGTCTATATTACAGGCCTCATACATTTGGGCATGAGAAAGTTGAGGGAGAATATATGTTTTAAAATTTAAATATTAACCATGTTATCAACCATCACAAAGAGAACAAATAGGTGGTGGAAGAAATAACCTTATTTTACAAAAAATCATCGAATACAACCTGTTGATGAATATTGCATCCCAGAGCTGGATAACGTAATTCGATGTGTGATATAATGTTTTAAATTATTTCCTCTCACCTCTGTGCCATGGGTTTCGATTCTAGCCATTAAATTCTCCAATTTATGACAGCTGTACCTTCGATTGAGTAACTGTGCTATTTCAGAGCCTGAAGGGCAAAAGTTTCAGACCTTCACTGGTGGTTGTGGGGAGCTTAGGAAGATTTGGAGAGGTTACCAATGGAACTTGCAGTTTCCTATAGCCTAGCAGTACAAGCTTATGATGGCTCACTTTGGTTCAGTGTGATGGCTAACTTTGCAATCACGTCAGAGCTGCAGTCAGGGAAGCAATGTTTAAGCTGTTTCCCAGGGATATAAAAAACATCCACAGTAAAAATATAAATTTGGCACTAATCCTACTCAGACTCAAGAGCAGCTGGTATTGAAAAGGAAATATTACACAGGGCAATGAGAAGTGTTCTTTTAAGTTGGGATTCCGGTTATCGTACTGTTATTGCAGCAGCGACACTTGATATAAGAGTTGTTAATACTGGTATTGGATACCAAAAGTAACCCTTATTTGAATGAGCATAAAGTGGTGGGAATGAAATTGGGGAATGTCACTCAACTCTGACTCTCAATACCGATTCATATGTGTTTCTGCTGGTAACAGGTGCCATTGCCAAGGTGAAGGACAGCCAGAGAATGAGCGACGAGGGAAAAATGGATCAGGAACAGGCAGACGGGATAAGCAAGCGCTGCCGGGTGGTTGGATTCGCTTTGCAGGCTGAGATGAATCACTTCCATGAGCGAAGGATCGTTGACTTCAAACACATGATGCAGTCTTACCTACAACAGCAGATCCTTTTCTACCAGCGGATTGGACAGCAGCTGGAGCGAACACTGAGTATGTACGACAACCTGTAGCCAAGAGCCCTATGGAACCTGGGGTTTTACACAGGGAGAATGGGAAGTTTTTCAGCCCCTGGAAAGGCACAGAGTCTCTCCCCCACCCCGTCCCCCATCCCTCTTCTAGAACCAGTAACAGATTTATTCACTACTCAGAAGGAGCAGTCATTGTACTAGCTCATTAGGGCTTTGAAATGTACTCCATGTCTAACAAACACTTGGTGCCTTTCAACATCAAATCTGCATTATATGACCCTTTGCACAGGATGCTCATGGTTTGGAACATTTTCTTTTAAGGCTATTTTTTAGAATTGCATTGTTTGCCACTGCTGTCCTCTTGCTCCGATACTTGGAACTCCTTGGTGTGAGGACATGCTCTGTAGTACCATTGGCACCTGTACAGATCTCAAGATACAGCAACTGCTAAACCACAGTCAACTTTATAGGGAACAAGGCTCTCCATCAAAAAAGCCACACGGGTTTCAAAAGCTGTTTCGTCCTTATTAGCGTTTACAGATCAGAAATGCTGACACCTCCTGCCGTGCATTCAATATAACAGAAACACTCCCATCAGTTACTCAACACCTGCTGCACACCCACGGTATGACTTCACCAGGTAACCGTAAAATGACTGGGCAAGTTAACTATAGGGACAGGAAACCTCAATATGAAGGGATGTCAAAACATATGAAAACTATAACTACAGCTCTAGTTTTATCGATAGAATGTAAACTATGCCAGAGCATTAGGTTGGGACTCAGTAGGCTAGAAATCCTTGAGATTGGGTTGGCAGTCTCAGTTCTAGAGCTTGAGCTATCACTAAGATATAGCATTGGGTTAGTGATCGCTGGGGTAGAATATTTCAGTATTGGGCAAAAACAATAGGTTTCAGTGATGTCGAACAGAATGAGAAAGTGAACAATCACAGAGAGGGGTTGGGAGTGTTGATGCAAAGTGCATATGAAATGGTGAAGAAAACTTGAGCGTGTGAAATAAGAAATGTGCAAGGGTAAAGGTTGAAATCAATCCCTTTTCTTGGATGCCTGCTAGAAAGGCTCCTGGGAATGATTTGACACTTATTTAGCCTATAGTTGTGATGTGCCAATAACCTTGCTCCTGACATTTAAGGAATACACTGCACTTTAGCTTGTATTCTTTACAACCTATCCCACTGCAATGTAACTCAGAGCTGTATACCATTTTTACCTTGTACATCGATACTCGGGGCTAAATATAAAGTATCTGCAATATTTAACATTATCAATATAACGATTGCATATTGATAACTATGTAAGTGAGCAATGTGGGTGGCATATTCTTCTCAGACTGAAAACGGTGTCACTGTGCAATGTCACCCAGGATGCTGTTGGTACTATGGATGGGCAACGTACTGATGTAATGTGTCATTATCTATGTATCGAGAAGTAATGGTGGAATTAATTTGACAACAAACTTTTCGCAATGTTGAAGAGAGAATATGTGGCATTGGAAGCACAGAAAGATGTGTGAAGAAAGGAGAGTTGAACGATTACATGATATCTTCAAGTGTCATTCCGGACTTTCAGATTTCCTGTTCTCTCCATCTCTCCTTTCCCCACAGTGAATTTTTCTAACCCCACCCCCACTTTCCAGGGTTTTTGCGGGGAGAGTTAAGCAGTGACGCACATGCATGAGACTGCTGGAAGAAGCACGACATTCAGTTTGCCGCTGCACCAGCATTTTCAAGTTCTTTCAAGACTGAACTCTAAAAGATGTTGAATATTAAGCCACCAGACACATTCCAGGCATCTTCACGCCGTCACAGATACTGCTGTACATTTAAAACTTTATGACTTGTTTTTCCTCTCTCCTCCCCCACGTGAGTGTGCCTCTCGATATTGGGGAGCTCTTAGCATCTCCTCAGTGCACAGGAATTTCATCTTTCTTTACTGCTCTGTGTCCACTGGATACTCCAGAGATGACACAGTTGCTTGAAGTCTGGGATATGAGTTTGGAAGCAGGTTTGAAAAAGGAAATAAACAATAAAAGTACAAATATTGAAATCCATTTGTTTTTTTGTAGCTATCCTGATTGGCTGCTTGCTACTGAACACTGATCCGGGTTGAGCAATTTGACCCTTGTCGATGTAACCATAATTCCACATTCAACTTAAAATTCCTGTTGCTAGGATCCAATAGAAATAAGACAACTTTGAATATATATATATATACACAGTACAGTCACTGACCAATGTGCTCTCTCTCACTCTCTCCCCCTAAATGTCATCCTTTATCTTACTGTCAGTTCCTGGTGATAAAATCATGAACTGTTAAACAGGCCATTAGGTCCATATGTGTTTTTCTCCACATGAGACATCTAATTAAACTCTACTGCTTGCCTTCCCCATGTTCCTTTCAAACAGTTATCTAATTCCATTAAGACAATTTATGAATTTTGTCTCATCAAAAAATTGTGGCAGAGAATTCCATATTTCTTGCAGGATCAAGAAATTACCCTTTAATTCTTTTTCTGATTATCTTAAATTTGTATCCACTTGTTACTGATTCAATGATCAGCGGAAATAATCTAATGCAAAATTGTTGCTGTAACATCTGAGTTTCTCTGCTCTACAACCAAGCAATTAATCCATGATACAGTCAGAATACAGTAACGTTCCAGTTTCCTTTACATAGGCTCAAATGGCCAGAGTCTAGTTAAACCCAAGAGGAATTGATGGGCTGAATAGCTTGTCTCCGTATTGGAAATTCTGAAATATTCCCAACCAACAGCTTATCCAGGATCATTAGAAGGGCTGAGTTGGGAGAGAATAGGAAGCAGCTCAGATCATCTCCTTCCCCACCTGCGGAATGTTAGATATGCTAAATATCCATTCCCCTAAACATATCAGAAGCATGGCAAATGAACATAATTTTCCTTTGCCTATTATTGTGTTTGTGTATATTAAGTAAAAGGCTAGCATTCCCTGTATGACAAATTTCAGAAATGGCACATTCCTAGGGACAGGAGAAGACAATTTGGCCCTTTTCTGCTAATTCATTAGATTCTGGTAGATTTTTAAATCCCATTTCCCAGCCTTTTCTCCATACCCCCTAATACCTACTTCCTAATTATCTAACTCCATTCTAAACTCAGGCGAGAGACCTGAGTTCAATTCCAGGCAGAGGGCGAAACCTTGGGCAAGTTTCCTTACTCCACACGCCTAATAATAATCCCTCCAAAACCAAAAACAATAATAAATTGGTCATTTTCAATCTACGACTGTTTGTGGGACATTGCTTTGCGCAATTGGCTACCCCGTTCACCCACAAATATACAGTCAATTCACTTTACAGTGTGTTCTGTGAAGCGCTTTGGGACGTCCTCCCGACGTGAAAAGCGCTATATCAAAATGCAAGGATTATTATTATTATTATTAAACATCCCAACTGATTCTCCAACTGTAATGTTATGAGGTAATGCATTCCACAGTTTCACTGTAATGTAAATGTAAATGCTGGTGCCGCTGTGAATATGCCAAACCAGAGAAGTGATATGTCAAACTGTCTCAGTAAATCATCTGTGCAAATGGGATAAATCCTATGCAATATGCATGACTCCTGTACAACACAGATAGCATCATGCACTCTATATATATCATGTTCCCTATGATGTGAATAGCACTGTAGGATCTGACATCTTTGTTCCTATCGCCTGTTTGTGTATTCTCATTTCCATAAGAAATTAGGAACCTGAAATGAAACATGGAGACTTGAAAATTCTCAGTCCTAACTCTTAAGATCATGGTCGTAAAACTTACACTTTAGCAGCAGTTTGGAAAATAAATCCAGATTAAATTTTTAAATTTTAAAAAGAAGCTGCTTTTCAAATTATGGTGAAATTTAAAATTGTTTTTAAAAAAATTGCATGATGTTAGGCAGTAGTCTTAAGTCTCAAGACTCTTGTCACACAGCCCAATTGGTCGCATTACACAGATGACATTTCCCTGGTTGCAACAGGGTTGTAACTGTCCTGTTGCGCTAACATTTATCGTGACAGTTAGAAACCTTGGATTGTATATATCCTATCTTGTATGTCACCCTCATGTATTACTTAGTTTAAAATTAGGAGAATGCTACAAATGTTTTTTAAAATCAGCAGGCACTCCTCTCACTGGATTGCAGACACTTGTTAACTGTACAGTTGAGAAATAAAACTAGACAAAGCTTAAAGTGCACCCCCCCACCCAAGAACGATCGCACTGATGGGAACACTACTGACAGATACAGCAGAGCGGACTGCTTTATGTTACGCAATTATCAGAGGAGTAGTAAACGCCTGAGCCCTTTGCTCTTAGAATAGAGAATGGAACTTGCACCTCACCAAACCTGAATTGCTGCTGAGAGCAACAAATTAATTCCTGGAGTGAATTCCTGCTGATCAGAGGCCAGGAACACCTCATTCTGCCTTCCACTGAAGGTTTTGAATAATTTTAAGGTAAAAGGCGTGGAATCCCACCTAGTATTAGCCTATATGGTAATTTTGTCATAAAGATGAATAAATGTGGAAATTTTTAAAAGAGCAGGCTTCAAAATCATGAGTGAATTTAAGAAGTTTCCAGAATCTTACCTTAAATTTTAAGACAAATCTTGCAGGCTAAGCCTAGGTGGAATTTAGGGCTTCTGGTGTCAGGTGCTTGACCCTAGTATTTAACATCTACAGAACTGTAGACGTGGCAGCTGTCATGAGAAAAAGCCTCCAAGCCAAAATTTGTGCAGTGAAATGAACGTGGATATGTGACAAGGAGCAACTACTCCATTCCTGGGATCAGAACCTCAGTGCCCATAAAGAAGCCTGGACAAGGCTGCTGGTTTAACATCTCACTTGAAGGTCGGCATCTCAACCCAGGCCTGAACCAGAATATCAATCTAGACAGTGAGCTTAAAGTCCAATCTTGTGGCTTGAACCCACAACCTTCTGACTCAGAGATGAGATTGCTACCTACTGAACCAAATACAGTGTTCACCACATATTCTTTACAATTTGTAATGCAGGTATGATTTTTTGGTCTGACCAAATATGGTAGAAATATCATGTCATTTTTGACACAGCTTTACTTTCAGCCTCACCTGTCACCCATCCCAACACCCAACCCTCTCTCTGTTCACATATTGCCTACCTCTCCCTCACCTCTTTACTTACTCCTCCCTCACCTATCCCTCATCTCCTCACCTACTCCCTCATTCTCTCATTCAACCACAGGCCAACACGCAAATAGAGTTTAAATCAGAAATGATCACTCCCTGCATGCATTCAAGCATGTTTTATTGTTCCATATTATGTTGGAATTTGGCAGTACTAAACAAAGACACTTTCTGAATGGGCAATATATTATTTAAAAACATAAAGTAAAACAACTGGAATTGGAAAATGTTTATGGTTGGGACTATTGTGGATTAAGCAAATTCTAATTGCTAGTTATTTCCTGGAATAAGCTCCAGGAACACTGACAACTCCCAACAGCAGCAGAACTGCCTCTTGTGGCCCAAAAATAACACGATCATATGAAAGGGAGAAAAAAAGCACAGCTCTGTGCAGTTCTTCTAGAGCTGAGTTCGCCTGGAACCGCTGTGGGAATGAATCCAAGCCAACAGACCCCACGCTGTGCTGATCGCCAGTCTAGTTTTGCAATCTCTATAGTAAACAGCTCAGCAAGTGCTGTCTTCCTTTGTCTCCGTAAATGATTGAATTGCGTTTCTGGTGTGTAATCTATGGCACAATCCAAGATGTCCACACCCTTTCCATTTTTCCTTCCCTACTGACGAAACTGACACACGCTGGCAAACATGTTGCATTTGCTGATCCGCCCTCGGCTACCTCATTCAAGAAACATTACATGTATGAGCCTTCACAGGAAGGGTCCAATACTGGGAGGGGGAGTGGAACCACAGCCAAATCTACTCAAACATCATCCACTATTCACACTACACATCGTTACTGCCGATGCCCCAAATCTCTCTTGGAATTAGCCTTAACGACAACAATAACCAACTTGCATTTATATAGCCCCCCCCCCTCAAGTAGGATGGTACTTATATAGCCCCCCTTAAGACCATGGTACAGGATTTTGGAAAATTGTTCAATGCAGTCTTAATTTTGGAAGCTTTCTTAACAACAATGGAAAACCTGTAAAATTAAAATTCAGCTCAATCTTAAAATTCCAACATGAAGGAGCCTCACCCAAAGTTCTATTCTGTTTATGGCATTGTTTTACACAGCTGTTCAGGAGTTATTAGCCTCTTGTTTTGTCATCCGGATTATAATGATGTCCACACTTTTACCTGTCACACAATTTGATGGTAATAGGAGGGTCTTGAGAAAAGTCTCCGAAGGATGGAGTCAATCACCCGTTTCTTTCTCAATGTAAGGAGTCCTCTGAGGGTCCCTACAGATCAATATTCTGGCAGCACCAACACACAATAAAGCCACCTCATATCCACAGGTTAAAGTAGTTGTAGTCATAACAGCAAAGTGTAAAGCTGAGGCCAAGATTGTTTGTCATCAAGCATAGCGAGGTACCCTGTGTGTGTCATAATGGAAGAGTCACGACACTGAGCAACAAGTGGAACATCATCATCTGAATCCCTTCGGCCCTCTAAAGACCTATATATTCGGCGGAATTAGGTCAATCTCCAATGTAAAGTGGCATCGGAGGTCAGCAATGTACTTCTGTTTCATTTCTCCCTATGTCGGTCCCTTTGTTCCCAGTGAAGAATCACATCATGATAAGATGATGCTCTTTATCTACTTTATCTTCGGGATGTGGGTAATACTGGTGTAATAAAGAACAAATAGCCAGAGGCAGGATTCCTAATATCTGGAATCAAGGAACAGAACTAACAAGAAATAACTTGGGTTTTTTTTAGCGTTAACATGGCAAAACATCCCAAAGTGCTTTATGGCAAAACATTCACCCCCAAAATACACAGTACCTGCACTTTACAATATAACCTTTGAAGCGCTTTGGGACATTATCCTGATATGAAAGGCTCTATCTTTCTTTGTC